CCATTTCATCGCTAAAAGGGTAACTCTGTTCTTCTTTTCAGGGAAGGGAGAAGGATGTTGTGATATTTTCGTGTGTTAGGGCAAGTAAAAGCAAGAGTATTGGATTTTTGTCAGATTATAGACGAATGAATGTTGCGATCACCAGAGCGAGGTCTTCCGTACTGGTAAGGATGTGCACAAGGGAATAAGTTTTTTTTTTCCATCTCGGACATATATAGATTGATCGTTTGACTTCAGGAGTGAGGAACCTCTTGACTTTGTCTCCAGGTGGTGGGTTCTGCATCCACTTTGAAAAATGACGAACATTGGGGCAACCTAGTAGAAGCTGCTACCGAGGGTGGCGGATTGTTTAAGGTCAGTCTGTCCACCAAGCTTTATGAATTCTCATTGTGTACCATTGTACATTTAACTAGCCTGGAAACGTGGACCTCCCTTTGTAGTACTGCGCATTCCCTGGGGCTTGGTAATCAAATTTTCTGTATCGAAAACAAATCATCTTATGCTCCCCGTGACAACTATTTTCGGAGATTGTTTCTTATGTCTGGTTTACTTTTTAACTCAAAACACTATGTTCTCCTCTTTATCTCGGAAGTGAACTCCTTTGTTGCAGGTTTCCAAGCCCTATGGATTGTTTTTGTCGGATGAAAATCTGGAAACCATGAGACCAAAGAAGGACGAACCTCAGTTAGACGAAACAGAGATGCCAAACGAGGTGGACAACGTTGCTTCAGTATACGGCAACGGTGGCGATGTTGAACCTGTCCAAGGAGACGACAATGACTACGGGGATGGCGATGGCGAAATGGCTTATGGCGATGGAGACGACTAATCTGTTTATTCTTGTTCAACCGATTCATATGGTTTTACGAGATCTTTTTCCTATGACATCAAAGCATGTTGTTGGAAATGTCGAGCGGTCTGATGTGAAGAGCTTCCTAATCATGTACGCTATAATCGCCTCCCGGAACCCGATGTCCAATTTTTTCTACGGCCATGCAGGATTCTTTTGACAACAGAGCGGTGAGCGCCGGCATTTACCTAAAGTTTCTGTTGATTTTCAAATGTTTATGAAGGAGAACAATTGTATCTAATGTGATTTCCTCAACGATGATATTGAGATTGTATTCACGTTCTCCTTTAATCCCCTTTCTCATTCGGCTGGTTGCTCTGTATTAGCCTCTTAGGGTTTGTTTGTCTCGGAGAAAATTTCATGACGAAGGAAAATGTTTTTCGTATAATCCTTTTTCAGGAAAATATTTTTCCTTTCTCGGGTTTGGGAATTCATTTTCCTAACTTGCATTTATCGTAAATGATTTTTAGTCGATTAATCATTTTCAGAACACCAAACACAAGAAAGTCCAAAAAATTAATTTGCGAAAAATTCTTTCAAAAGTAGGCTTCTAAGGTTTTTTTTTTATTTTTATTTTTTATATTTTGGTTCTTTGCCTTTTTTAAGCAATAATTTTTGTGGCTAAATTATATGATAAAAGACTGAGCAATTCCTTCGTTTTTCGAAAGACATTGATGAAGTTAGGTTGCTGTTAAATATTTAATAATCAAATTACATTTTCATCTAACAATTTAAATTTTGAAAACAGTTATCAATAGTCCCATAAAATTTTGATATTCAAATAAAATTTCTCTTCAAGAAAGTTGATTCATTCTTTTATATGACGTTGTAGTGCAAACTTGTGATTCCTATTTGGTTCTCGTTTCTTTCATTCAAATATATATTGCAATCAAATACTTGTTAGGGCAATCAAAATACTTGTCGGGGTTCTTATCCATGCAATAAATTGGTATTCGAGCTAAACATCCAATTTTTTTGCATTTTGTAACCAGGATTGGAGTTCTCAAGCTCAACCCTATCAGCTTCTTAGATGTTTAGATACAGGGTTAATATCACGAAAAACCCGGAACTGGTATATCTGTAATAAATTTATGCCAAACTAATTTTTTGATCACCAAACACCCCAAACTAGTACATCTGTGACAAATTTACCATCCGTTAGTTTCTCTTAAATTTTACTTTCAAATTGTTGAGTTGGATGACACGTGATAGTTAACAGGTGTACTAGTTTGGGGTTTTACTCTCCATTTATCATAGGTGTACTAGTTTGTGATTTTTTATGGTATTAATCCAATTTAAAAGAAAATATGAATGGCAAATTTGTCACAAATGTACCAGTTTGGGGTTTTTGGTTGTCAAAAAATTAGTTTGAGGTAAATTTAATTTGGAGTAATTTGTCACATGTGTACCTATTTGGGGTTTAATACTATTAACCCATAGATATATTATGAGAAATAATTTTATTTGTTCGAAAATCTTGTAACAAGGAGATTCAAAATAAGCACGGAATTAGATCTTTCAAGTCAAAAATATTTGTCAGTTCGAGTATGTTTAAATTTTGGGAAAATTGCTTCAAAACCTTCCTTAATTTTGGCACTGTTCTACAATAACCCCCGAACCTTAAAAAATTACAGATTATCACCGTGAACTTTGATTTTTGCAGCAATTATTAGTTTTTCCATCTATGTCACTTACTCACTTTTCTGACCCAAATAACACCCATTATGTGGTTAACGAAGTTTAGAAAATAGAAATGATGGATGGTAGAAGAGTTAGTCCATTTTCAGGTAATAATTAACGGCTATGCGCAAATGAAAATTGAGCAATTACGACAAAATGAAAATTCTAGAGAGTAACTTTTAATTTTGGGTTAATAACATGAAAAACCTCAAATTGGTACATTTGTGACAAATTTATTCCAAACTAATTTTTTGATCATCAAAAACCCCAAACTGGTACACATATAACAATTTACCCTCCGTTAGTTTTCATTAAATTTCACTGTCAAATTTCTAAGTTGGATAACACATGGCAGTTGACGGGTGTACCAGTTTGGGGTTTTACTTTCTGTTTGTCATAGGTGTACCAGTTTGTGATTTTTCGTGATATTAATCCAATTTAATGGAAGGTAAATTTGTCATACATATACCAGTTTGGGATTTTTTATGGTAAAAAAATTAGCTTGGAGTAAATTTATCATATATGTACCAATTTGGGATTTTTGGTGGTTAAAAAATTAGTTTGTGGTAAATTTATCACAAGTGTATCAATTTGGGATTTTTCGTGATATAAACCCTTTAATTTTTCAAATTTTGAAGGCTATTGCAAAGTGGTGCCAAAATTCAAGGATAATTAATATGTAACTTTCTAAAATTCGGAGTGGTTGGAGATTTAGAAGGTAATACTAATGTGACAAGATGAATGTTTGCCAACTAAGAAATCCATTTTGGGATAAAATGCTATATGATAAGATAGATTCTCACTATCTAAGAAATCCACTTTTGGATACAAGGCATGTAACGGGAAAATTACCAAAAAAACTTAAACCTATTGCATTTGTGTCAATTCAGTTATAAATCTTTCAATTTAGCCAATTTTTTTTTTTGTTTTTTTGGTCAGAATTTAGCCAATTTAGTTATAAATCTTTTGACAATTTGCCAATGTAATACATCCGGCTAATTTTGGCTGGAAATTGATGACGTGAATGTCAGCTGTTCTACATGGCACACTCGACGTTAACGTGAAAAACTTTTGAAATTTTTTTCTTTTCTTTTCTTTTATTGTTAAAGGCCGGCAGCCCCCAACGGAGTGGCCAGCAGAGGTCCCTGAGCCCGCTGGCTATTAACAATTAAAAAAAGGAAAAAGAAAAATTATTAAAGAATTTAAAAAACTAAAAATTATCAACATCAACGCCGGCCATGCCACGTAGGACGCCGATGTCCATATTAGCGATTTTTTGGCTAAAATTGACCGAATTGACTAGTTGACAAATGGTCAAAAAGCTTAGGACTAAATTAGCCAAATTGAAATATGTAGGACTGAATTGGCACAAGTACAATAGGTTTAAGACTTTTTTTATAATTTTTCAAGAAGGTAACTTACAGTTCAATTGAATCCATCAAAAAGATATAGAGTTAAAGTGAAACTATAATCCGAGAGTTCAAATAGGAAATTCATTAATCAAAACCCCCTAATCTGAGGGAAGCCTTACAGGGTTTATAGACTCAACTCAAAACAACCCCCCCGTCCTAGGCAAATCCCAAGACAAGACCCTTTTACTTACGAAGACAAGGACTAGCAATCCATGGACAAAACATAAACGAAAGCATAATCTACTTATGACTCCAGAAATTGACCACAATGCATATGACTCAATAATCACACAGAAATCTAAAAGACTCGATCTTGAACTTCCTGACCGGCTCCTACTATTTTGGCAATAACTTCCTCTAAAAGGATTAATTTTATTCGAACTAGACACATAGGGCCCTTCCAACATATACCGTGGGACTTGATTGGACAACGAAATCCTGGTCAAAATGCATAAGAAAGTAACTCTAAAGATTTGTCAGGATAGTTAAATTTATGCTTCATTTATTTCGTGAAAAATAAATAATTTAAAAATTATTCTCGTAAAAATAATTATTTGTATCGCTTGAAATAATTAATCGGTGAAAAATATTTTCATCATCAACGATAATTTATATAAAAATATTTTTATAGATGATGAAAATATCTTTTTTATTTATTTTTGTAATTATATAAGTGATATTTTTAGTAAAATATTTTTTAAATTTTCCACGAAGCTAACACATCCCGTCAGCTTCCAAGCAACTTTACATTAAATGCTTGATAAGACTTAAAAACTCTTGAGATGATTCTTTGTCATGGACGCTATCGTACAACGGTGCTTAAACGCAATCATTTCTTCGTACTTTCAGAAAATTGCCCGAAATATCCTAAAATTATTATACTTTAACCATTTCGATATCGTAGATATTGAGTAGATAATTAAACAAAATGGACAGTTGACAAGAGACTTAATTGTATCATGTATCATTTTTGTTAATGAACTTCTATATTTCTATCTTATTATTAGTGAAGAACAGATGCATTTGAAATTTACTTTGCTCGGAGAGAAGACAAGCCGTACTATCAACTTATTACAAATTTAGCTGAAAAAGTACAACACTCTATAGCACCATAACCACGAACGGTCCAAAAATAAGACATGTCCATGTCTTAAGGATATTGCAGATCTAAAAGTATAGTACTACAACATTTGCCACCCCGCCGAGATTAAATTGCCGGCAGCAAGCTACGACTTTGATCGATGACGGCACGCATCTGTCTTCGACCCATTTCCTATCCATCTCATTGATTTACAATTTTCTCTTCAGTGAACAAAAAGGAGATTTCGTTCATGGCGTCTAACAATGAGACCTCGTCTCTCAGGACGAAGAACTCGACGAATCAAAGGACGAGAGTCGACGCCTCTTGCTCGGGATTGTCGTCCTTGGGGAGTACTCCGGCAAGACAGAACTTTTCTCGAGAAGAGAACTCAGAGCCTGGCGAACCGAGCTCATTAAACTTTGGCATGCCTCGGAATCGCTATTTTTGTGCTCTTCCGCAGAGCTGCTGAAGACAAACGCATTTTTCAACCGGCCTTCAAGGGTTGAGATCTCGGCCGTCACTATCTTCAGGGGAAGAGCCTGGAGAGATCGCCTCATATCGGACAGCAGCTCAGGTTGGTAATCGCAACAGATGGATGCCCTGAAGGAAAACGCATCATCTCTTGCTCCGTCACCACACGGTTCAACTGTTATCTCATCAGCATCCGCCGGCACAAGGAGGCCTTTGCTCGCTTCGATGGCGTTCTTCTTCAGTTCTTTCACTTGGTTCACGACCTCAGCAAGTAGCGCAGCCTTGTCCATCTATTAAGAACAGGATTTAAGTTCGGTGAACATGGAGAAATTGAGATTGGCAAAGTTCATAGTGATTGTCCAGTCAAATTTAGATGTCCCTAACAGCTCTGCTGCATACTACAGAGATTTGACTTTCCAGATTATGAATGCAAGCTTCACTAATGGAAAATATGGCACGACAATAGCAGGACTAGTTCAGATCCATTGACTTTCTGTAGTTTCTTTCCCCAAAAAAATTAAGTCAACCACCAAAGCATCTGCATATCTATAGAATATAAATGTCGAGGAGAGTCAACTGCGCTAAATTATAACACAGAATCTCTAATTGCCATGGCAACTCAAAGTCAGGATCCAAACCAATCATATGACCAAATATATTATATGTTTTACACAATTGTATATTCTAGTCTTACAGGATCACAAAATACTGATGGAAATATCAAAGAACGGGTGGGGTCGAGCTGAAAGAAAATATATATATCGTTTAAGGACATAAAATATTGTTCACGGCTGGAAGTCTAACAATGAATCTTCCAGGTAGCCATTGGTATCTTTTATTAATGACTACACAAAGTAAGTTTACTATTAAATTGATGAATTCCCGTATATGATTTGCAATAATACTCCGAAAAGGTAAACTCGATGATGTAATCCATGCCACAGTTGGCTTGGTGCCCCACTAATTATTGCTTAAACTACAATTAGATATGGCCTTCAACCGACATCAGAAGCTGACAGCAATAGATAAAATTAGTTTAAGCTTGCAAATGTCTTTATAGGGCCACTTCTTACTAAACAAACACATGATTATCCACTTAACTAGACGTTGAACCAACCAAGAAGTTAGAGCTTCAATTTCTTAATGAGTCTTTGACTTGTAACCCATTATAACATTAGGCAGAACAGCTTCCAAGCCACCTCAGACATTTTGTTCCGATTCGTCTCTGAATAGGAAATGTTCATATGCAGACAGACATTGCCGGCATGCATTTCTTTTCTTAAATCTTGTCCTCTGCTTGATTTTCTGTTTTATTAGGAGCAGCCTAATTTTTGTCTTCTTCACTCCATGATACAAAACAACCTCATCAGGAAATGTAAACAGGCAAAGTAGACTATGCCGTCTACTTCACTCCACCAACTGTTAAACTATCCTGCCAATTACATATAAAAATCACATAAATCATGCACCATACAAAGTTCCATTGAATATATGTAATGGCCAGACGTAATTGCAACAGGGAGGGATTAATAATAAATTATTTCCAAGTTGACACTAGTGATGGCCAAGTCAGACCTAACTTTCCACTGTGGGCGAGTTATGCAGAAAAAAGACGCCGATTTGCATTAAACTAACTACACTAAACCGGACATTAGATGAACCTTCATATAAGTTTTATAAGCTAAGCAAATTTTCCTCTTGTGCTTTAGAAGGATTCAAGAACCATAAAGAAAAACTGTAGCAAAACGTTAGGTAACAAACAAAATGAAAAAGTATATTCGGAAAGTTTCAGCTCCTCAAGGCATTTTTAGGGAATTAGGTAGATGATTTCAGAGTGTTGTGTATTGCTTCTGGATATACTTATTCCAACCCAACACAGAAGTTTGCAATGAGATTCCCTTGTTCTCAAACAAATCATCATCTATTGATTCAGTTGAAAATTCCTCTACTCCACCAAAATGTCAGGCCTAACTCCATGCTGTGTAAAAAAACTAGAACCAAACAAATAAATTCCCTCTGTACAATCTATCAGACATTGAGGAAATCTAAAATGCCCAGCAGGCACCGCGATTACAGGAAAACAATCTACCAATTGAATCCAAAAGACAGTTAATATAAGTTAATATCAGTTTCTCACTGCTTCGCATCACCAATTACCAAATGCTTCAGTTATATAACACAAATGGCGAAATCGAAATCATTCGCTAAATTGCCATGGAAAAACACAAACATAGTAATCCAAATGACAAACTTATAACATCTAGCACTCAATTTAAACCAGTCGACCAGCCTCCACTCTGACCCTCATGGCAAAATTCATAAACCGGGTCGAAGACAAGAATCTAAGTTGCATATCAATAAATGAGAACACCTACGAGTGACTTTTTTTTTTGTTGCAAAAGGGGCAAATTGGAAACGAAGAGTACCTTTTCGGTGCCGGGGACGAGTCCACGGAGAGTGTTGAGATGAGAATTGATCCTCTCTCTCCTCCTCCTCTCGGCCTCGCTATGACTCTTCATGGCCGCCACGGCCTTCTCCTGCGAAACCCCCTTCTTGGCCACGCCAACCGGAGCCTTCACGAGCTCACTCTTCTCACTGTCCAACACCAGAGACCCGCCTCGCGGGACGCCATTGATCCCACCAAAATCGCGCGGGAACGCACCGAACACGTTGAAAAAATCGGACCCATGTGGAAAACTCGAGTTGGGAGCGTACAAAGCCATGTCAAGTTTCGATCTTTTCCTTTTCTTCTTCTTCTTCTTTATGTCCTCTCTGTTTCACTCTGTTCTGCGAGCTTTGTGTTCTTCAGGAAACGAATAGAAAGAGACCAGGAGGGCAAGTGCCAGGGGCGAACCAGAAGGAGAGCTTTGCAACAGGGAAATTCTGTCGGTTGCTCGCTTCGAATCTGAACGTAACTCCCCGTCACGCAAGTGGACAACGCTTGAGGTCGTCTGTGAAGAAGCAGGACGAGGAGGTTAATTCGAAAGGCTCCAGTTTTTCCTACCTTCTGGTCTTGAACTCCAGCACACTTTTCGCTATGGAAAGTTTTCAGGGAGTTTGAATCGAATCTTCTCTCCTCTTTGGATCTTTGCTCGGTCCGGATGTGGGAATTTTGGGATGAATATTCTTGGTGGCTTGGAGTGAGAGAGAAGGTATCTGAAATCAAGAAACGGCAACGAAGTAACAACAGACACACGGAGAGAGGGACAGGGGGATCGTTTTACGTGGCAAAAAGCCGTGATTTGCGAGCAAAGTGTTCACGTATATATAGCTTGCAATAAGGCAATAAAATAGTGGGGATGATTAGACAGAGTGGGGTTCCTGTCAAAAGAGTGACTGTTCAAAGGCTGTTTCTTAAGGTATCTGGAAGGGCAAGGGACCCAGGGATCCTAAGATCCGCGAACCTGTGATGGATGATCCAGTCAGTAGGGATCCGGTGGAGATGCTATTGGGGGATGCAATTTGACCTTTGGGCATCGTTTCACGCGCGATCCGAGTTCAAGAATTGACAAGAAAAAAGGAAGGAGGAGGAGGAGGAGAGAGTACGAAAGAGACCGACGTATCTTTCCTAGTATTGTCGATGACGCAGTGGAAAACGTCGATAAGCACGAGGTGAACTCAGCTCAATAATCGCGAGGGGCAGAACCCGCAAGAAGAAACTCTTGCGTAACGGAGGCAAACATCAGAACGTGGGAAAATCAAACCTACAACAGTGTTAGAATACTTAAATAATAAATCAAGATTTCATATAATAACTTAAACTTTTAGAGCAGTTGATAGTGGTTCTACAAAAATTTCACATGATATCAGAATAGGAGGTCTTGAGTTCGAATATTTTTAGATCCTATTTGCCTCTCAAATTAAATATTTTCATGTTTAGTACTGAATAAAAAGAAACATGCCAGTCTAAGCATGAGGGGGAGTGGGGAAAAACAGTTGCTTGAATCAGCCGAAAATAAAAAAAATATATAGCCCTAGAAACACATGAAGATAAATGGATTTTTTGAAGAGGAAAATACCTTAAAAGCCTTTGGATTAAAGGGGGTTTTTGAATTGCAAGTAGTGTTTGGGAAATTGTAATTTAAAAGTGCGCGAAACAATTTTGGTTTAAATAGTGTTTGGAAAAATCATACTTTGTAAAACACTTTTAATTTTTTTCCCTAAAAAAAAAACTCAAAAACCAGCGAAGGACTCAGAGGCCGACGAACGGCCAATCAAGACTTCGGAAAGGCCAAATGTGGCTGCTAACGAGCCAGATTTGGTGCCAGCAGCCATATCTAGCCTCGCTACTAGAGAGGCTTGCTGGCGGCCTGCCGACGACTAACCTTCGCTGGTGACATCACGTGAGGTAGGGCCATTTTCGGAATTCTGAAAATTTAGTGATATTAAAGTTAAAAGAAAATAATGCAGTTGCATTCTGGAAATGCTCAAAGTTCAAAGCACTTTCGGACCTATCTCGGGCTAAGTGAGAGACCTTTGAAAATGCAACCACATCTTCCCAAAGTTCTTCCAAAAAATTTGCCAAACTGTATTTGCCTCAAAGGATTTTTCAGTCCAAACTCCTTGGGAAAGCAGTTCCCAAATGGAGACCTAACGAAACTTCTTGCATCAGGGGGAGGTGAAACCGGTTATGCTTAATGTTTGTCGTCTTAGGGTAGGTTTCACTCACCATCTCATCCCTAGGATTTCTAGGTTCTGTTGTAACTAAAGTTCAAATTCTTTGACAAAAAAAAGACGTGTTAGTTGCATGTGGCATGAATCCAAACTTTGAATAATATATAAAAAAGAATGAAAATATTCTCGCAATTTGGTTGAGTGGCCAATTCAAACTCATGTTTCGATATTTTTATTAGAGTATCACATATCGCTTATATGTATACGTGATTTATGAAATCTTTATATACACGTGATCTCCTTTCATATATCGACTTAAGCTTTCAATGGTATCAGAATCGGGTTCTGTCTCGACTTGTTTCGCGTACGTGTATGCATGTGATCTTCCCTCTCCTATTGCCTTAAAATTACAGCTTGGATTTTCTAACATGGTATTAGACTCGGGTTCTGTCCCAGGTTATTTTGTGTATACGGCCACCTCGTTTGTCAAATTCTAGGTATCGTTCATAATCCGGCTTATATGTGAGAAGGGGTGTTAAAGTACCCACAATGCTTGTTTACGGAGTTTATACATATGATTTACGTCCAGCTATAGGTTTAAATTTTTAGGTTGGATTTTTTTACAAATTTTTAAGTGCTCACGGAGCACGATGTGTCCCTCCACCCAGCCAATCATGTAATGCCGACTATCATCGATATATTTTCCAAAATTAAAGTTCGCAGGACTCGATATTTCATGATCGACCGGATGGGCGGTCGCGTGATGCTCCAATAGCACCTTCAGTCCCTTATTACTATGGTCCATGCAATGACAATCGATGCTTTCTGACTTTTGCTTGTGTTGTTAATTAGGGTTTGAAATTCCATGTTTATCATAACGTCGGGGGATGAAATTCTTCCCCACATTAAGCACTCAAGAGAAATTTCAATATTATTTTATGCAAAACCACGTTTAGTAGAGACTATTATACATCGATATAAATTATTTTTTTTTCTTCAAAATTAAATGGTCTTTCTTGATTAGGGTCAAGGGACAAACAAGTTTTTTTTTTTGGGTCGAAAGGAACAAACAAGTTGAGGAGGCAAGAACTTGACTTGTCGCTTATTATGCGTATGCGGCCACCCCGTTCGTCAAATTCCACATATCGTTCTTAATCCAGCTTGTATGTGAGAAGGCATGTTAAAGTACCCACAATGCTTGTTTATAGAGCTTATATAGTCTTTATATACATGTGATCTATGTTCACCTATTGGTTTAAACTTTCAACTTGGATTTTCTAACAAATACGGAGCACGATTTGTCCCTCCACCCAGCCAATCATGTAATGCCGACTGTCATCGAGATATTTTCCAAAATTAAAGTTCGTAAGACTCGATATTTCATGATCGACCGGATGGACGGTCATGTGATGCTCCAATAGCACCTTATTATTTTTTTTATTTTTTTGAATTTTTTCTTTTTTCTTTTCTTTTCTTTTCTTTTTTTTTTCCTTCACCTTCAACCTCTAGCCGGTGGCCGATCCGGCGACCGGCCAGAGGCGGAAGCCAGCGAGGGCCGGACTCGCCGGTATCGAGCGAGGACCGCCCTCACCGGCGTCGGGCGGCCCTCGCCCGACGCAGGCGAGGGTCGCCCTCGGACGGCCCTCGCCCTCGCCCGACGCCGGCGAGGGCGGCCCTCGTCGGCTTCCGCCTCTGGCCGGTCGCCGCTAGAGTTTGAAAATGAAAAAAAAGAAAAGAAAAGAATAAAGAATAAATAAAAATTCGAAAAAAATAAAAAAAATGATATTAAAATTTTAATTCAGGGTAAAATTGTCACATATGTACCAGTTTGGGGTTTTTTGTGGTAAGTTCAGGGTAAAATTGTCACAGGTGTACCAGTTTGGGGTTTTTGGTGGTCAAAAAAATAGTTCATGGTAAAATTGTCACAGGTGTACCAGTTTGGGGTTTTTTATGGTAAAAAAATAGTTTGGGGTAAATGTGTCACAAGTGTATCAGTTTAGGGTTTTTCGTGGTATTAACCCTTTCCAAAATTAAAGTTCGTAAGACTCGATATTTCATGATCGACCGGATGGACGGTCATGTGATGCTCCAATAGCACCTACAGTCCCTTATTATTACTATGGTCCATGCAATGACAATCGATGCTTTCTGACCTTTGCTTGTGTTGTTAATTAGGGTTCGAAATTCCATGTTTATCATAACGTCAAGGGATGAAATTCTTGCCCACATTAAGCACTCAAGAGAGAAATTTCAATATTATTTTATGCAAAACCAAGTTGAGTAGAGACTATATACATCGATATAAATAGTTTTTTTTTCCTTTCTTCAAGATTACTAATCATAATCTTCTTTCTTGATTAGGGTCAAGGGACAAGGCAAGAAGCTGACCTGTCGCTTTAGGCAAGCCAAGCGGTTTCTTTTATCGACATCCCCCCATTGACATCAAGATTCCAACTCCCGCTAATTAAATTATCGTTAAATTAAAAGAGGAAAATCCCCAATTTTTTTTAAATTTAATTTTTTTTGCTTGCGCAAATGACCAATTATATCATCGAAGACTTTGTCCTAATTTGCCACGAAAGCCTTTGATCTGTCGTCATTATTTTTGCAATTGGGTGGGGCTCGAGATAGGTAGATAATAGATTTCCCCACCGACGACACACCCTTCGTTTTCAAAGCTAAGATAGATGTGGAAATATATAATTTTATAGTATGGAGCTAGCTTGTTCTTGTTCTTGTTTTGAAACTAGAGATTAAAAGATTTTATTTAAATATACGCACCCTTACGCATGTATCTTGCTAATGATAGGCAGATTAGGGGGAAACCGCGTGCGCTTTGAGTTAATTTTAAGTAAAACTTCAATTTTACATGGTTGTATAATGAGAAACATTGCGTTCAAGTTGACATCGTATGTGTAGTTTATAAAGTAGTTACGTCGGCAACGTGTATACGGTCACGTATTGATATTATATACGTGTGACGACGATTTTTTCAATGTGTATAAATAGATATAGTTGTTATTCACTTTAAAGTGCTAGTGTTACGTGGCGATTTTCGCACAAAACTTTTGAGGTGGAAAGATGTTTTGTGTGTTTTAAGGTGGATCTATTGACATTTTTGTTTCGAATTTTCTCACTCAAATTAACCTTAAAAATCACACCTATCATTCTACAAATGGCGCATTTATGCAAGTGTTTGAAGAGATTCACATTTACATAAAAATCTCGAATGCTTGTTAATTAAATCAAGTAATTGAAATGGTCCAAATTAATCCCATAAAATTCGAAATTTTCCCACTAATTTGAGTTGATTGGACATGATTAATCTACATTTTGATCTTTCTATGGAGGTTTTGAGAGTTGTAATGTGAATCTCTTCAAACATTTTTTTGTTGTTGCAAAAGTCAACTTGTTGACTTTCGTAGCTTTGAGCTCATTAGCGTTAATGGAGAATCTTGTGGCCGAGGCTGCTGAACCAATAAGTCACGCCCAGCTTTGAACACTGAAATTGAAAATTTTGTGCACAATATTTGACATGATTCAGGAGTGTCGACAGTTGCATCATTATATATGTAATGCCACATCACCTCAACTAAATCTCCAACCGACGATTCTTACGTATTTTAGGTATGAGATTTTCAATTTATATTGGGATAAGCGCACTAAAATTCCTAAAAGTACAATCGGGTTTTAAAAATTTCAAAAAGTGCCGTCAAGTCCTAAAACTTATCACGAAAGTATAATCGGATCCTAAAATTTTAAAAAAGCGCTATCAACAGATGGAGTTAATTGGATCAATTTATTAAGTTTTTAGGACTCCATTACACTTTCGTGACAAGTTTCAGGACTTAATTGTGCTTTGTTAAGTTTTAGAACTCAATTGCACTTTCATGACAAGTTTTAGGACTTCTTCCAATGTATTTATCCCATTTATATTTTGGTAATAGATCTTTTATAATTATGAATGTTCCGATAAATAATATTTAAAATAGTTGGTTATGTATATTTTGATTATATATGTGTGCGTATATATAAATGTATCGATATAATTCCACAGTTAAATCATGGTAAGGGCGATCTGATGCTTCAAGAAGAGATTAGTCTACTTAACGTGGTGGTCAACACTCAACAGGAGGTATGACCAAAAAAAAGAAAAACGCTCAACAGGAGGCACGTGCAAGGCCATTTCGACCCCCAAAAAAACAGAATATCAAGAAATGTCGCCTGTCTCCATCAGATGTCGCAAGCACTTACGTAATCCTAAGTGCCCTCCTGTCGACTTATTAGCAACCATTCGTTCGTTAATTATTCCGAGATGTGAAGGGCTTCGTGAATCGCTGTCATTGGCACTTGTTTTATTGAGAGTTTGGTCAATTCGTGCTGATGGTTGATGTTTACTAAAATCCGCGATTCGGTTTCGAACGAAACGGCGTCGGGGCAATCTCATGTCATTGGCAGTGACCGGCGTGTGGCGGCGCCTGGGCTTCGTCCGTGTTCACATTAGTGGAAGGCGAGCCGTGGTCCGATTGTTGTCCATGGGGAAAGTGAAAGGAAGAAGGAGAAGAAAGGGGAGGAAAATGTCCGCCCGAGCTAACGTGGAAAAAGAAAATTTGTGCTTTTTGATAATGGGAGGGGTCGGATTTGGTATGGAGTGAAAGTTGATAATTTTTTGCAAGACAAAAAAAGAGTTATGGTTAAAAGCGGGACCCGACTTCAAGTTTGTGCTTTCTAATAGAGTCGGGCCAATAGATAAAATATACATACTTTATAGTTATAGAAATCATTTATTCTTTAATTTATCAGTCATGATTATGTAACACCAAATTATATGATTACAAATTGCAATACTTTATTTTGGTACCATATTTGTCGATATACATATTACCTTAGTATTATAAACAATATCGAGGCACACATATACGGGGAAAAGTGTCAGAAAAGTCTTAAACATATTTGTATTAGTACCAATTTAGTCCTAAAATTTTTAATGATGCCAATTTAGTCATAAACCTTTTGACCTAGAGCCAATTCAATCCTTCCGGTTAATTTTGACTAGATATTGCTGATGTGGACGCCGGTGGGCCTATGTGACATGACCAGACGTGGACAACTTTCAATTGTATTTTAATAAAATTTCAAATGTTTTTATATTTTCTTTTATTTTTCCTTTTTTTAATTTTCTTTCTCTTTCTTTTTTTTTTTCCTTCCTTTCCTTCTTCCTCTAGCTAGTCACCGGATCTCGGCGACCAGCCAGAGGTGAGGGCCCCTTGTCGACCATGGGCAAGGCCCGACCTCGCCGGCCCTCGCCTCTGGCCGGTCGCTCAAGCGAGGCCAGCTCTCGCCGGCCATCAGAGGAGGAGGAAAAAAAGAGAGGAAAAAAAAAAGAAAGGAAAAGAAGAAAGAAGAATATGAAAATATTTCGAAATTATTAAAATATTATACAAATATCTACATCAGCGTCGGCTATGTCACGTAGGCAGGCTGACATTCATATCAGCAATATCCGACCAAATTGGCACCAATGCAATTGGTTTAAGACTTTTATTATACTTTTCTCCACACATATGGGTGTCGGCATGAGAGAGAAAGTCACACCTATGTGCGAAAATATGAAAATTATTGTAGACGAGGAAAAACAATGTGATTCAAGTTATTTTAGGAAATAGTTTTAGGTTATCGCGGGATAAAAAATAGTTACGTAAAATAGAGTTTAACATAAGAAAGATTTATCGGATAACGTGATATCATGGAGATGTGGTGAAAGTCGATATGTTCACTTCAATGACCTTAAACAAAGTTACCCCGATAGATAAGTTAAAGGTCCGTTTGTTCGCGTAAAATGAGTTATTTAGAAAAAAAAATTTCAAAAAATAATTGCTTTTATTGACTAAAATAATTAGTCAATAAGAAATATTTTCATCATCGACAATAATTTATATCTAAATATTTTTGTAAACGATGAAAAAAAATTTCGTTCATCATTTTTGAGATAGATACAAACGATCATTGCTTAGAAATATTTTTCAAAACATTTGTTTTGAAAGTTTTTTGCAAAACAAACGCACTCTGATTCTCTCTCGAGGATAGTTGATAGCCTCTTACGAAGAAATTCGTCACTGGAAACTACTGCGGACAATTCCTTGAATACAACTCCAAAAACAAACGTTCGGAAGAGGATACAATCGACTTGTCGTGCAGCTTGTCCGATGCTGCTGCTCGAGTTGATCATGGGTTCTCTGACCGAGCAAGTGATTGTGGGCCTGGATGTTCAGCAGAAGGGGAGAAGCTATCTGGGTCCAAGCTCGCATCTTGAGCAGAGTTGAGGCCCAGTCGAGAATCCTCAAGAAAACCCCTCGTGCGGGACGCTAACTAGAGTGCTTTGCCAAGATTCTGTTGAGCTCTCTTTGCAGTTTGCACAGGTGGGTTGCGTGGACTTGCGTTTGTGAGGGTGTGTGCTCTAGCTCTGATCATTGTTCGTCTTCTGCTGGAATCGTGTTTGATGGTGTTATTCGATGAAACCCGTTTCAATTCTTCTCCATTTCTTTTCTTCTTTCTTGGTTCTGGTTTAGTTTCAGTCCGTGTTCGGAATAGGTACTTCAATTTCATCATGGTTTTAGTTGTCGATGGGGACGATAGTAGTATAAGTCTGACGGAGGTCATGGGCAAGTTGGCCGCTACTTTGATAGCGTGCAGGAGTCCAAGTGTCAGAATCTGAATTGCGGAACTTCAGTATTGCAAAAGAAATCAAACATGCTGATGACCCATCATCTGCTATGGTATAGCAGCCTGGCCAGCCAAGTGGTATGCTTGTGGGATTTTTCTTTTGTGGTGAGTTTGGTTGGAAAAAACTGAAGCAGCGGAAGATGTGTTCTTTTTAATGTTGTCATAGGAAGGCTATACAGGAAGTGAGCTTTTGCATGCCTTTGTTGGGTGAACTTCCTAATAGCCAATGAGCTTGCGTTGTTCTCTGAGATGCCCCTCAATGCACAGCCGATATTGTAATTTAGTTTGTAGTTCAACATGGCTTACTCGCGATGTTGCTTAGTTGTTGAGTTTATTTTGGAGGATTGGACTAATACTAATTGTAGGGTAGTTGATCAGATTAATGGCAGCGTAGGAAATATGTGACGTTTATGTAAATTCTCTAGATTGCTTCGGTTCTTTTGGGCGTGAGTTTCGCTTGTGCTATGTAATGAGTACGCCCGTCCATTTCTAACTACCCTGTTAGAGTGGTCTACATGAGGAATTGCAATGTGAGAAGGTCCATGATGTTTCTTGGTTTGGAGAGGTATGATACAGTCAGAGTGGTTCACTATTTTACTTGGATTTTATCTGTCAGTGCTGTAATGGGATAAAAATGATACTTATGCGACAGAAGGCAGTCTCTGCACACAAATTTGTGGCTAAAGCATGAACTTTTCCTAACTATTTAGAACCAAGATTGAGTGCGCCATCCCATATAATTGATGAATTTTGGTGACCAAAATTTAAATAGCTGATCTCTCAATTCCGGTGCTATATATGTTTTACTTTGGCCTCTTAGTTCAATGTACGAGACCACAAGCTATCTGCTCAGATTCCATGTAGATACTCAGATAAATGGCCATGGATGAGAGAATAATAGTGGAGGAAATTAGCGTTGTAACAAGGGAGGATATGGTAGACAGCAAAGGTGGAGGAAAAGGCAAGGTTCACACTGATTTCTTTATAATGGTGGTCCCGTTAGTAATATTCAGCTCTTTGTCTGTGTACTTTATCATCTAAGGAACATTTTATTCTTTCCTCTCCATATGATTCTCTCCGTGGATTTGAATAATAAGCAGCTATTCTCTTTCAATGTCATCAGTTTCCGTTAGAAAAGAGGTTTTGCATTGGACCAGAATGCTTTTACTAGATGAACTTCTTTCGGTTCTACATGATGTGGAAGAAGAGTGGATAAGTAGACCTGCCAATATGACTTGAATGTTGAAGAATTGGTGCTCTTCTGTATTTGCAAAGTTGGATGAACTATTAGTTCGTCTCTGTATGAGCAGGAGGGATGGACCTTAAAGATGATTAAAAATTTGAAAATTTTCTGAAGTCAACCCAGAGCAGTTTAGGAGATTCTCATTACTGTACAAGCTTTGGTTTTGCCATTGCGCCTTCTTATATATTACCTATATTCAATGTAAAGGTACGCTGTGCATGTTATGTTTCTGCTGACTATTATCTTGTCATTTCTCTTTCAGCATCTTTGTTGCTTTTGATTACTATGCAAGATGGTTCTGTTTTGGTACAACCCATGATGATTTCATTGTATAAGGTCATGCTTTTCTTCACTTTGTAGCTACTTATGGTTTGCACTGTAAGTTGAACCAATATGCTAGTTAAGGGTCCTTCCATGGCTTATTTGCATGCTAGTGTTCTGCATTTTCTTTTTCCTGAGATTACTTCCGGCAATACATGCTCGGTTCATTTTGGTGCCTATTTTTAGTGGAGCGTAGTTAAGCGTCAGAGAATTTTTTTCTGACACATTTGCATATTCTTATTGTTCTCACAACTACCAAGCATTAGTGACATCCTTGATATTTTGTGAATTCTTGGAAATCTTCCAGAACTGCAGAAGCAATCTGGTGACTGCAAAAGTGCCAATGGAAGCAGTCAATTCAGCTGACACTGGCTCCGTCCCAAATCCTCAAGTAATTTACCGCTGCAAAAAATGCCGGAGAATCGTTGCTTCGCAAGAGAACATACTTTCACACAAGCGTGGGAAGGGAGAAGAGTGCTTTAAGTGGAGGAAGAGAACAGGTGAGCCGAACAACTGGGAAAAGGATCCAGCTGAATGCTCATCCATATTCGTAGAGCCCATGAAGTGGATGCAAGCAGGTGAACTCGACAACTCACGAGCATTACTAATCCTTCTTTCTTTTCTTTTCTCGAGGCTTTAGGAAATGTAGGTCAACTCGGAATCGTGTGCACTGGGGATGTCTTCGCCGCTGGATCAAAAGTACCCTTAATCCAAGGGCAGCACATGCCCGATGCACATGATTACGAGTTCTCACGCAGTACTCGTCGACTTTGCTCAACTCGAGTCTTGTGATTTTGGCCAGTGGAAGACGGTTACGTGGAAGAGAAGCTTCTGTGCAAGGGCTGCAACGCTCGCTTGGGTTCCTTCAACTGGGCGGGGATGCAGTGCAACTGCGGAGCTTGGGTGAATCCGGCGTTTCAACTGCACAAGAGCCGGATCGACGAATGCCATATCTGAAGCATAGAGTAATGTAAACCATCTATCCGCTGGAACACTTCTGTGGTTTGTACATAATCTTGTTCCGTAGGATCGGCCATTCGGCATGTCGGTGGGGAACGACAAACTCCGAAAATTGACATTGCACGGATTAGATACATCATCCCCTATATATTTTGGTATCCCAAGTTGCATACATCCATGTTATATGAGATATGATGGTTCTTATCCTGAAACGAACCGACCCCAGCGCCGATACTCGCGACGGGCGTTGCTGCTTAATCCTTTAGATGTTAAATTTGAACTATGATTGCAGAGTATGGTCATACTCCAAAATTCTTTTGGGGCCACTATGCTCATTCCTTAATAAGGTGTTGTTTCCCATTAATTCAGCGACTAAACAATTTAAGTCATCAACGTAAGCATATCTCAAGTCTTGATATGCTCCCTGGTGGGTCAGTGTGTGTGAAGTCATAATAATACAGCCCATGTGACATTGGACCTCTTCGGAAATTCTTCTTATATTTTTTTATAACCCACTTTAAATTTATGCCTTTTCTTTTTAATATTTTCAGGTAATAATAATGCCATGAGTAACATGACATAAATTTTTTAATTGACTTCCTGGTGTGTGACCTTTCTTGCACTATAATCAGCATTTTTATTTGGACCTTTGTCACTATTTTTGAATGCTTTATTCTTCAAAAAGTAATAGTAAATTGATAAAGGGTGGACGAGATGTGATATTGCCCCGGAGCTCTATTATAGATGATGGATCTAATAATAATTCTTGGGTGATTAGGTAAAATAACTTATAAAATAAAGAATTGGAGTTATAATGAGAGAAACAAACGACCAAAATACAAATTAAGTGCTCAAGTTTTTAATCAATTGATGCATATATAGTCATTTAAGTATAAATAAGTCAATTTCTTGCGTATGTTCTTCAAAAGAGAGATGATATGTAGAATTTGACTGAATTGATGCTCAAAAAGTTTGAGCAATTTTATGGTTCTTGACATTACCAAAAAGCTCCGTATAAACACTTTTTCTAGAATTATCGTAATTACGACTTTGTTAAACACTTATTTGTTTTTGTTTAAACTATCTTACTTTCAAATTTAGGTTTTCTTTTTCCTGAGTTTAGCAACTTCCAAAAAATAATTGAGGAAAAAAACTCCTTTTTGGTTTATTTTATTTTGTCACGTGTTTAATTTTTAGGATATTTTTCTAGGGTAATTAGGTCAAGAGATAGATTTTAGTTTGTAATCATTTACTTGTTTCCTTATCTTTAAGATTCTAGTTTTAAAAAGTTTGCATTAGTTTAGGTTATTTTGTTTAGCATTTCGCAACAACTTTGTTAGATTAGATATTTTGCTTAGGGTTCATTTGGAATTACAGAAGGCTTTTTGATCAATGTTTTTCAGAATGAATTAAGAGAGCTATTTCCTAGAACTTGTGCCTGAGAGCGTACTTGTGAATTGTTCGAATCGTGTTTATCACCGGTTTCTGCTGCATCAATTGGTATCAGAGCCGACAACATCCCATGAGAGTGAAGCCCTGTCTGGTATTGATGGTAATGGAAGCAATCGTCCTGTTGATGGCTTTTCGTTGTCTCGAGGCATCTTGACGTACCATGGAGACTGATCTGCGAGGGACTCTTAAACATGCTCATGGAGCGACCAAATAATGTCTGCTGCCAATAACTTGTCGGGCTCGCTGCAGTGATCTGGAACCCAAAGAAATTTGATTCCAATTGGTATACCCTCTGCTGGAATCAGTACGGAAAGCGATGCGGGAGAGGTCGCCGTGGCGGCAGTGGCAATTGGTGGAAAAGCGGAGGTGGACAATGGAGCTGGAATCACTATGGCAGGCAACGCAGGAGAGGCCGCCGTGGCGGCGATGGCAATTGGTGGAAGGGCAGCGGAGGAGGACAATGGGGCCGGTCATGACTCCGCCAATGAGCGTTGATTGGTGGGATGGTGGTGGTTAGGAGTGATTGGTTTCCGGTCCGGTCCGGTCCGGTTCCAAGGTGGAAGGACCGGTTTCTCAGCGGTCCGATCCAGTCAGGTCCAATAAAATTGGTTACTTTGGGTTTAGTTCACATTATACTAATTTTTGTTAATAATTTTATGTAAATGAAGTTCACTTAGGGTTTAGTTTACATTTTATTAATTTTTTTTAAAAAAAAGTATATGTTTTCGATCGGTCCAGTCTGGTTGTCCCTTGGAACTGGGAACCGGACCGCCCGGACATTGGTTCCACTTTAGGAATCGGAAACCAGACTGACACTCCTAAAAATCGGAACTATCGGTCCAATTCAGGCGGTTCTCGGTTTGAGTGGTCCGCTTTGCACACCCCTAGTGGTGGTGATGGCCGTGGCTATTGGCGGCAGGAGGAATACAAGCTGAAATTGATTAGAGCTGGCAGGAAAATATTATGTCCAAGATTTTGATTCATTTTATTTTGTCATACGGTTATTTTTAGGACATTTTTATGGAATCTCAGGTGATTTTATTTATATTTTAAATGAGTTATCCCGTTAGGTCAAGAGATATATTTTAGTTTGTCTTCACTTACTTGTCTCCTTAACTTTAGGATGATTTTTTTAGGTGATTTTCTTTAGCATTTAGTCATAATTTTATTATATCAGATATTCTAATTAGGATTAACCAAACACTTAAGTGATTGATTGATCGATGCCATTGATTCCGTAATTAATGGTACGTTTGTTTCGAAGAAAAATTTATGATAAAGGAAATTACTTTCCCCTTTTCAAATTTGGGAATTGACTTTCTTAACTATAAGCGTGCATATTTACTTTGACTGTTAAATGATTTTCTATTAACTAATTATTTCCAGCAAACCAAACAAGTAAAAGTTCGGAAAACTAATTTCGCAAAAAATCGGTTCGCTCAATCAAATGCACTCTAAATATTGCCATGTGATCGAACATTAGGATCGAACATTGTGGGATCGAACATCAACAATTTCGAAGGACGACATTTTCTCTTTCCCCTTTTTTCTTCTTCTTTTAATTTTCTTTAAAAATTATATTGTGGTGAATAGGCAGAGTTCTTTTACTAATTAAATTTTGACTTCTTGATTGGCTATTATTATAGCTGAAATCTATCACATGTCCAATGTTTTTTGGGTGGAGGGAGTCATCCACGAAGCTTCGGAGCACCATAATACCATCTTTGCTATGTTAACTAACACGACATTGTCCTTTTTCTTTCAACTCTGAAGTCATATTTTACACGATTAGCTTATGAGCAATTGACCATATTGCAACATTAATTATTGCAAGATTTGGTCTGATGCGTGTTCGGAATATACATCATAAAGTAGCTGAACAAACCGAATAAAGTCACTCTTTCAACAAAGAAGCATAGTGTGTGCACCTAATAAAAAAGCTCGCTAATAACCGCGTAATTAAGAAACTAGGAGGACTTTTTTGATGAACGACTAATTGGGATAGTTGTCCAAAAAAATCCTAAACCTATTACATATTTTCCAATTCAATTCTAAATATTTTAATTGTGTCAATTGAGTCATAAACTTTTTCACGTTTTACTAATTGAGTTCCTTTTATCAATTTTGGCCTAAAATCGCTGACATGGACGCTAGGTGTACTATGTGGCATGACAGGTGCCGACGTAAATAATTTTTAATATTTTTTTATTAATATTTTTTATATTCATTTTTCTTTTTCCTTTTTTTTACAACCCTGGCCATCCTCATTTGCACTGTTCACTATCTTCCTCGATTGCACTGCTCATCGTCTTCCTACAACTCGAGATATGGCGATTCGTCGATTCGTCACCTAGTCTAGTCTGAGGTCGAAGTTGAAGTCGCGGTTTGAAGTCGAGATATGGTGACCCGCCGAGGTCCCGATCTGATGTCGAAGTGATGAGGTCGACATCTGAAGTCGAGGTCTTCCCCCTCGGTGATTCATCGCATGGCTTGAGGTCGAAGTGGAACTCGAGATCTGAGGTTGAGGTTGAAGTTGAGTTTTAATATAAGGGAAAATGCTTTCTATGGAAATTATTTAAAAAATATATGCTTTCCCCTCTTCAAATTAGGGAATTTATTTTCTTAACTGTAAGCATGCATATTTGCTTTGGTCGTAAATGATTTTCTGTTAATTAATTATTTTCAGCAATCCAAACAAGTGAAAGTCCAAAAAACTAATTCACAAAAAACTATTTCACTCAATCAAACACATTCTAAATATTGCCATGTCATTGAACATGAGGATACAACATTGTGGGACCGAACATCAATTATTTCGAAGGACGACATTTTCTCTTTCCCTATTTTTTTCTTCTTTTATTTTGCTGTAAAAACAATATGGTGGCGAATAGGCAGAGTTCTTTTACTTATTAGATTGCGACTTCTTGACATGTCCACTTTTACTTTTTTTTGGGCGGAGGGAGTCATCCATGAAGCTTCGGAGCACCACAATACCGTCTTTGCTATGTTAATTAACACGACAATGTCGTTTTGCAACTCGGAAGTCATATTTTACACGATTAGCTTATGACCATATTGCAACATTACTGAATGTAGGATTTGGTCTAATGCGTGTTTTGAATATATTTCATAAAGTAGTTGACCAAACCGAAATAAAAACATGCTTTTAACAAAGAACCACAGCGTGTGCGCACCTAATAGAAAGGCTAGCTGGTAAGCGCGTAATTAAGAAATTAGGAGGACTTTTTGATGGACGACTAATTAGTAATTATGTTAAATTATGTCTCGAGACTAAGCTCGCGAGAGAATCTGATCCAAATAGAGATTTTAAGCCCCGATAAGACTTTGTAATCTTTTGGATTCACAGTAAATATCGTTGTGACTCGCTCTTTCTATGAAGTAGGTACTAATATTTGGACCGAACCACATAAATTTTTTATGTCCTTATTGTTCATCGCTGATTTCTTTGATACTTTATTCCTTTCGAATTAGACTTAAATTGTAAAATCCGTTAGTTTCCTCCTTATTTTACAACAACTTACAATCTAAGTCTTTATCTAACACGTTGGCCAATATGGATCTGGAGGGAGGATATTTTGACCTTTGATTTTAGTACTTTTCTGGAGTTGAACTTTAGAAGCAAGTCTTTGTCCCAAAAGGCAAAAGAAAAAAGAATAAAAAATAGGTCCAAAGCTTTTTTATAGCCAGTTGAGCAAAAGATAAAAAAAGAGAGAGAAGAAGGGCGGTTTGCTGTTTGTGGGGGCGTCATGAAGAATAAGATAAATTCTCTCTTATCACCCTTCCTCCCATCTTCTCCTCCTGCTTTTGCCATCTCAGAACGCATTATAAATACTCCTTCAGATTCTGGCTGTTTGCTTCATCAGCTGATCATAGCATCATCATCATCATCATCATCTCTCTCTCTCAGAGTTAGCAAGTCTCCGTCTGTTCTCTCTCTATACCTCCAACATGCCGGTTAGAACTTTCTCTCTCTTCTCTCTCTCTCTCTGTCTCTGTCTCTGTCTCTCTCTCTCTCTCTCTCACACACACGCACGCACGCACGCACACACACACAAATACACAAAAGATGCATAGGGAGATTTAGTGCATGCCCTCGATGATCTGCAAAAGTTTTTACGTGTGATTTGCTCCATGCGTGCATGTGCTCCGGGGTTGGTTTTTCTTTAGGTTTATATCTTCATCATACACCCTCTCTCTCTCTCTCTCTCTCTCTCTCTCTCTCTCTCTCTCTCTCTCTCTCTCTCTCTCAAGATGCAAAGGGAGTTTTACTGCATGCCACAGATGACCTGTAAAGGATTTACGTCTGATTTCCTCCAAGCATGCATGGGTTCCATTGCTGGTTTCGATTTGGGGTTGTAATTTCACCTTGCGTTGGTTCTTGGAAAGGAGATACGCCACACCCCAACCCCACAGTTTCTTGATCTCACTGCGAGGTGAGAACTGAGAGGAGCTTCTTACATCGATCACATCAAGAGGATAGAGATATCGATTTCAATATATTATCGAGAGATTTCAGGAAAATGTTGCCCTTCTTTTGTTTTACTTCTTGAGAAAGATGCTTGATGATTGGTATGCATTATGGGCAGTACTATCTTGAATTGAGCCGAAATTTTTTTAATCTTTTTCAATACCTGGAAATCTTCAGTCTTTTTAGGAAAAAAAGAAAAAAAGACATACATACCAAATACCAATTCATTGTGTTATTATTTATTTATTTATTAAGTTATTCATCTGTGTGTGGTTGCAAATTATACACATGCATGGACACTTCATTCTATTTTGATATCTAAGAGTTTAATTTATCTCAAATTCTATCTTTTCTTCAATTCCACACGGTCTTTTGATCATGCCATATGGTCTGCAGGCTTATAATTAAATGAAGTGAGCTTAATAAGGCTAGATTCTAATTATCACGACTTAATGACTTCTTGCTATGTTTCAGATCGTCGAGATGCACGTGCACATGGACTGTGCCGGATGCGAAGATAAGATAAGAAAAGCCCTTCAAAAATTAGAAGGTAATTCACAAACTTCATTAAACTTTGATTTTTCAATGTAAAATCTTATGTCTTCAGCCAACTCATTTGTTAATAAAATCACATTCTTCTGCATAAAAAAGTTACATGTACACCTTTACTGTTCAAGTTTGGACTTTTCGATTTCAATCTAAAAAAGAGCAACTCGAGTAATTTTCATTTTCTTAACTTATTTATATACTGAGGTTAGCTAATTGAAAAGAAAGAATCAAAGGTATACCTAAAAAGACTATAATACCTTTTCAATTAGTGCTTTGATGTTCCAAAAGCTAGTCAAGGAAACAGTCATTTCGAAATGTCGCATGGTTAAACTTCGTCGACGAAAGCCACCATCAATTTGCTGTAACTCATTTTTTTATTAAGATTAGATTAGATGGACTATTTCACTTCCTCTTATCGTTAGGGTTTTCCAATTTGACAAGTGAGAATATATCTTTTCCTATGTTCACTCAGGAGTGGATGAGATAGACATTGACATGGGGATGCAGAAGGTGACAGTCATGGGGTGGGCTGCCCAAAAGAAGGTTCTCAAGGCAGTGAAGAAGACAGGAAGGAAGGCAGAGTTCTGGCCATTCCCATACAACCCTGAGATCACCACCCTTGACCCACAAAATTACTATAGTAACAATAATAATCACTATGAGCACAGCGACAATTACTATTTCCACCAGCCTAATTACACACACCACTCCTATGAATTGCCCCAGATGCCCTCCTCATACCCTTACTATTACAAGCAAGGCTACACTAGCAATGATGACTATGGCTATTTCCATCACTCACCTCCTTCTGCTATGGTTGATTATCAAGCTAGCTCTATGTTTAGTGATGATAACCCCCATGCTTGCTCAATCATGTAAATGAGGGTTTTTTTTTTTTGTAATTTTTTAAAAGTGTTTTCCATATGTAATTGTGTTTTGTGATATTGATGGGCTTTTGTAATGCATAATGGGGTGAAATGTTATGCATAGTGTGAAGTTATTGTACAATGGATATTGTTAGAATATTTAAATAACCAATCCCGCATTCATCTAACAGTTTAAACTTTTTTAAAAAGTTGATAGTTGTCCCATCAAAAGCTCATAGGGTATTGCAACGAATCCTGAGTTCGAATCTTTCCAAGTCACATTTGCCTCTCAAATTAAATATTTACACACTTAGTACTAGACTAAAAAATCATACAAGTGTTACAATATTTAAATAATATATTACGCATTTATAAATGGTTTAAGATTTTAGAACAATTAGCAGTGGTCCCACCAAAATCTCACAGATACATTTTTTAACTTTAAACTTTCACCGAGTATTATTGTCGAAATAGTCACATGAATCTCTCACGTTCTAAAAACTCAAATATAAATTCCTCTCGATCGATAATTAATTAAATTTACATCCTAAAAGAAATAAAATTTCCACCCTCTCTCTGGTATTTGTTTTTTTCTAGCTCTTTTCACACCCATACTTGTGTCTAACTTTAGTCTGCTTCATGCTTTAACTTACTATTCAAACTCTACCCAAATCAAAAAAACACTAGAAAACATCTGAAATGTTAAAAATAATGACCCAAAGTTAAAAAAAGAAAAAGAAAAGAAAATCAACTTAATTCCGGCACAACAATCATAAAAGGAGCTATTTTCCATAAAAAGGTGTCCCACAAATAATTGCCACGATATATAATTATGTGTACATATATATACATTTGGTCCATGCTGTGTTTCATATTCTTTTCCTTTCAAATTTTTTATTTATTCTCTAAAAAATTCGTCATTTTGAATCATTTCCCCCTTTTTCTTTTCGAATCTAGCATTTAATTGCTATCTGTGTAAATCTGAAAAATAGCAAAATTAATTGACTTTGAATGTGTTTATACGGTTATGTGGCCTTAAAGGTTTTTCATAAAGTTGTTATTTTAATTTATTTTCTAAATATACATCTTACTTTTTAAAATTCATACTAGTGTATGTATGCACTTACTTACCACCGCCCCTAAAACAAACATGTGAATTACTACATTAATGTAATACTAACAGTAAAACTTCATTCGAATAGGACAAATGATTACAAAAGGTAGTAGCAAGTTGTAACATGTCAAGAATAGTCCTTATAGTCTTTTTCAGTGTTCAACTTAATTCTTGAACTTTCAATTTGGTCATTGTGCTCTTTCACTAGAATCAATTTAGTCTTGAAGTTAGTTTGATTCTGTTGGCATCTCACGTGACAATCCAAATCAGCTATGGGATCACGTCAACTAGTGTAATTGTATATCAAAACAAATGAATGTACAATTTCTTTAAAAAAAAAATTACCACGTCACAGGTTCTTCCCCAACCAAATCAAATTGATTTGAAGGGCTCTATTGATTCGTTGGAAGAGCCAATGAGACTATAATGGACGCAATTAATGTATAACAATCGAATTGAATATTGAAGAAGAGTGGAGAGATTATTCCTGACATTATTATAGCTAGGGTGATCGATTCCAGAATAAGTGGTTATCTGATCAATAACTTAAAATCTACTATGTTAAAGTGGATTCCCTTAGGAATTGGCCTAAAACCAAACCAGCCGATTCCAAGGTCTACCTAGGAACTAAGCCTGGATAATAATACAAATGGTTCTTAAACTTTGATTCAAAGTGCAATATTATCCCTAAACTTTTAATTTGTGCAATATTATTCATGCACTTTAGCTCAATGTGAAATGTTATCTCTAGACTTTTCATTTATTCAATGTGATTCCCGAATTATTAGTAAATGTTCAATGTAGTAGTTTGGAGATTAAATTGAATATTTATCAATAGTCACAATATTGAACATTTGACTAAAATTCAAGAACTAAATCGAATAAATTGAAAATTCAATGACTTATATGTTGGATGAATGTTCAAGTAAATGTTCAATGTAATAGTTTATGGACTAAATTGAGATTATTAGTCATCCAATAAAGTATCCATGGACTATATCGAACTAAATTTCAAGACATTAATCTATACATAAGACATTCTCTTGAAAACTTAATTATCATATAGTGGCAAGTTCGAAACTATCTTATCTTATCAACAGCTAAATCAAATAAATTGAAAATTCAATGACTTACATGTTGGATGAATGTTCAAGGACTATTTGTGTCATGTTCCCTTAGAATTAATAAAACTAATAGTGATAATAGACATTAATAGTCATCCAAAACAAGTCATTCTACAACATTACCTCGCCTTTCTCTCTCCTTCTCCAACTTTCACCGGCAAACTTCCCATTCTCCTTCCTAGTTTTCAAGCACCATTCAGTCGTCAACCACGCCGCCGCCTCCGCCGTGGTCGGGATCGGAGCCGGAGGCGGCGGTGTGGTTGACAGCTAGAGGGGCGCCTTCGTGGAGGAAAGGAAGAGCCAATGGGGCTTCGGGAGGCGACGGCATAGGCGGAGGCGGTGGCGTGGTCGGGATCGGAGCCACCGATGGTGCTCCGGGAGGCAACTGGCGGAAGGCAAATTCAAAGCACGTGTGTTTGTCAGAGAGGGGTGTTGAATAATTAAACCCCAAGAGAAATTATCATATCACATTAATCAAAACTACTGATCAGCACCAACATTCACAAGCAACCCTCCACTGCACAAGACGCAATTAACGTGAATGTGGAGAGAATGAAAATTTTGCAGGTGGAAAGGCGCATGAACATAGAACAAGAAAACGAAGAAGATGACTTGTGTAAAAGATCAGTTCCGTCGAATTGAAAAAAAGAATTCAAAACCCATTTTTAAGTAAACGCCCCCAAAGAACACGACTTTTCTCAACTCGCTCTCCTCCTCCATACTGGTTTTTTCCGTTCGGAGTCAGCGTGCTGTCCTGGGTTTCTTGTGGGGATATTGGTAGGATAAGAGATGTCGTCCACGACCCAGTCGGAGCTCTCGGATTTCGGTAGGCTCGCCGGGCCGAACCTGTCTAGGTTGCCGGAGAAACCCGCCATCAACTTCTCCGAGACGTTCAGCTCACTCTCGGTGGGAGAGAGACATCATGACGAAGAGTGAAAGAAGGAGGGCAGTAACGGCGTTAATGGAGCAGGGAGATGGGGGAGTCAGAGATTTTTCAGAAATCTGACTGGTGGGCCTGGCTCGCCACGTGTCGACCTATGAATGGTTTGCTGTATTGCTTACGTGGAGTATTAAACTCACCTAATATTTTCTCGGGAGCTGCTGCTACTTTCTCGTTCTTTTTTTGTCGCTTACTTCGCACGGGCGTCCTCACGCAGTCCTCGCCTTACCACGGAAGCCAAAATCTATCAACTTCCTTCCCTCGCAGCTCACAAGCAATCGGAAAAGCAAAACAGCTCAGCTTTTGGCCTTTGTGCAGGCGGCAATCCCGATTCTGCACCCCGAATTCGCCAAGCAATTCCAAAAACCTTTGGTGGGTACGCGCAAGCGCAAGCGGGGCGTGGGGGGTGGCACCAGCAGTTTCTTGGGAACCCCCACATCACCACCACCACCACCACCCCCCAATGCCGCCTGCACTGCACGGCGAGAAGACCGAGAAGCGTGGGCCGTCCGCGTCGTCGCCGTCCTCCTCTGATCCGAGAGGATAAGCAAGATTCATGGCGATTGGCTGAACACCCACGAAAGTTGCGCCGCCCATTCCCATCTCTCTCTGTCTCTCTCTGTCCGACCCTCTTTTCCCGTGCTTTGTTTGCTTCGACCCATCTGGAGCTTTTCTTGGGCTTTTCTTGTCTATAAAGAATGGCTGCAGCTCCTTTCGTTCACGCGCAGTGCGGTTGCTCGCCGAGGCTCGGTGGCGGTTTCAGGAACGGCAAGCACGGATCTGTCGGTTCTACCTCGTACCCTTGTTCATCTACTGCGCCGTGTCCTTCATCTTCTTCTCCGCCGCCGCCGTCGTCGTCGTCGTCTTCCTCCTCCTCCTCCTCTTCTTCTTCGATCGGTGAGTCCTGTTTCGAGCCTCTTTTCGATATGGGGTTATGCTCTTTTTGCTTTAGCAATTCTGGGTCTTGCTCATTAGGTGCTTGAGATGTTGCCCGTGATGATTTTGGTCCTTAGATAGGGAGGCTGTCGAACAAAGACGGAGGTGCTCGGTGGTGTGTATGATTTGATTATCTGGGGTGGTTAGGATGAGAAGTGATGAAAATGAGGATAACATAGAGCTCGAGTGCCACCAATAGTGTTGGGAATGAAGTTGGATGATACGGTTTAGGTGTTTTTGGCGAATATATGTGTGGCTAGCTTCTAAATAATGTCTTAAATGCAGCAAATCTGAGGGGGGTGATGATGTTATTTGCTTTTGTCCAAATAATGGTGTGTCTGCAGAAGGTACAGACTAAATGGATGACAAGAAGTGATGATCATATCCAACACTTGTCTATAGATCTGTGAATTAGTTGCTATGGCAGGCAACTGCTTTTGGACTGTTGTTTTGCCACAAGTACGGATCTCTTCTAAGCATAGCTGAGCTTCAACTATGCATATTTTATGACACTTAAAAACAAAAAACACACTTGTCCAAGAACTATTATATCATGTACATTTAAGACAGAAGATGTTTTCATATAGAGATCAGAAGCATCCAATTAAGCAATTATATCAAAGCATCATCAATGGTCCAGTCTACCGACTAATCTGGTGCTCATAGTCGATAGTGTGGCCACGCTTAATGCCCCATAGCAAGGCCTACCAAGAGTCCCTCACTTGGTAATAATAATTAGTTGCAACGGTCCATTGATGCTTTGTCTCTAAATGAAAAAAACTGAAGTAGCTGGACCATTGATGCATGCATGTATAAGTGTAACTTTAAGAAAACTATTATAGACATTTGATGAGCTAAAGACCTCTTTTTAACTGCCATCCTTCTACACTGTGGTGTGGAGAATTGTATCACTTGTAAGCATGCCTATCAGATAAAACTCTATCAACTTACTTTGTGGACTAATTGATAAGATTTTAGGATGTGATGCTAACTCTTTTGTACCTGTATACTGGTATCAATCAATCCAGCTTTACAACTCTTTCTTCTAAAATATTTAACAATTCTGTTGAAATTTAAAAACTCGTAGCAGTGCAAGAGCTTGTAAATAAAAAAATGCTGAGAAAACGGAACAAAGCTGAACTCGTTGGCGATAGAATTATTGAGGATATATTTTGAAGGGGCCTATGTGGATCAGTTTTAATTGGATATGTAAGGAAACGGTGCTTATGGAAGCCTTTATGATCATCTGGACATGTAGTGAGTTAAAAATACTCTTTAAGCATTTCAATTAATCAAAACGACCCACTTTAGTCTCCTGGGGTTCATGACTTGTAACTTGTTGCCTTTTTACTAATCCGCACAGATAAGTAACTAATTTAGGAAATTGGATGAACTGTAAAGAAGATCATTTCATTAAATTCTTTAACTGAACTGGACTACATCTTAAAGTTTTGCATGGCAGAAGAAAGAGCAACTCTGAACCAGCTTAGCGCTGAATCTTCTGAAACTAATTGTAATAATGTCCTTCTAGAGAAGGAAAACCAAAATCTGTGCCACTTCAAGAAGATATCGAGGCAGTAATCTTAGGTATCTAATTTGTTGGGTCATTTGCGTGTTCTATGGTAATATCACTAGATGCATGAATGTTCACTCTTTGTTTTTTTTTTTTTTTGGGCCAAGCCTTCGATGTTTTTTAGCCAATTTTAACTGTAATAGATTACTATGCTAGCAATAGAATGAGTGAAAAACTCGTAATTGCAAGTGAGCGACTGTGTGAGCTCTATCATTTGACCAGTGCATGTTAAATGAGCATTTTTCCCCAATATAGTATCTGGTTAAGAAACTGCATTTTGATTGAGGACTGAAATTGTTAGCTGCATTTTTACAGGAATAAGTAACAACAGAAACTACCACGGTTTTAGGGCTCAAGCTATGAGCACTACTACTCGAGGAACATCCCCTCAGGGAACTACGACTCTAAAAAATGAACCAGACCATCTGCTTGTTCTGGTACATGGCATCCAAGGAAGGTATTCCTACTTTAACAGCTATTAAGCAGTAGGATCTGTTATTATCTGCTCAAGGGATTATAATGAAGTAGACTACCCTAATTATTTTGCTGTACCTGTCCTAGGAAAGAAAGTGTATGGTGGTAGACACATGACCATGATAAAGAGTTCTCATCCTAGGTGTTCTCAAGGGCTTCTTTGTCTATCTTATATTTTCTATTGATGTTTATGATAAAATTTGTCCATTGCATTGTATTTAGTGCCAGATCCATGCGAGAATCCTTGGCATCAGTTGGGTCTTATCTATCTTTAAAACAATTTTAAACTGAGACAGGCATATCGACAATTCAGGTGTATTTGCAATAGCATCTGTTCGTTTGCTTCAATTAGTCTGGACATGCAGTTAAAGTCTATCTTAAAGCATCTCTTGTTCATACACTGGTGACTCCAAACAAAATCCCCAAAGTAAATTAATAAAAAGGAAATCTCGTGTGTGGCATCTTGGTAAGACAATCCAAGCAGAATATAATATAATAGTGTAAGCTGCTCGCAGGTGCAATAAATGACATAACATTGACCTCTTTAGCTCCTTTTTTTTTGTTTAGGGGGGGGGGGGGTGTTATGTACATACGGTGATTGGCACCACTGTGTCTCTGTGCATGCTGTTTCCTAAAAAGGTGAATATTTTCATCCATAAATGAGCAATGCAGTGGAACTACATCCTATTACAAGCATAAGATTACGACAACAATATCACATGATGATATTAACAGACCTGTGTAATTCTCTATGAAAAGCGAACATAATCCTCTTAGAAAAACCAGACATTGCTAAGCGTCAATATTTTACATAAATATAAACATGCAGAAGCTTAACCTGAACATCTGACAACTGATGAAAATGGAGAGTCATTTCTATTCTCCAAATATGATGAAAGCTTTGCCCTTGAAGTAGGTTATAGCCCAATGCAGTATCTGAGTCCCAATCTCCCTGTTGCCAGGGGAACTGACATATAGATGTCACTTTGTTCCGTGCAACATTGGTCAAGTAACATTGGAAAAATAGATGATTTCTGGTTTCTATGAAACAATTGTATTGTAAACGATACTGAGTAAGAAACAATGGAAAGTTCCACTGTTATAAAAATGGTCATGTTAATGAGTGCCCAGGAACACTTGTAGACTTACTTTACAAGGAAAAAATCAATTTCCGAAGTTTTGATTATACATAACATGAGATTAGTGTATTGGGAATTGAAAATGTTCCTTAATTGGTTGCTTAAGTGCCCCTAGGGCACTCATTACTAAAATCCTCATAATATTTCTCCACTCTTTCTTCCGCGAGTACTGTTGGTTACATTGTCCATCTGTATATAACCTGTAGTGTTGGTTTGAGGTATAGATCCTTCTATTAGGTGGATCTCTTGGTCTTGATTGGAATTTTTACCTAAAAGTTGTGCAATGATAACCAGTATGAGTAGGCTATATTAGCAGCCTTTTGCTTCTATATTTCTTAATGAGAAAATTGACTGTATAGAATTAACTTGCGTGGTTCGGATTCAGGAATATGTTGAAGTCAATAAATGCCATTGGAATTGTCTTGATTTGTGATAGAGGCAACGATTTTAATTGTTCTAGGCTTGTATCCAGAAAATAACAAATATAACTGATTCTTAAAGTGTTGCAGCCCAAGTGACTGGCTATATGTAGAAGCAGAACTTAAAAGGCGCTTGGGAAGAAACTTCCTCATATATGGTATGTTCAGTGCCACTATTTTAATTTCTTTGCCAAATGGAAATGCCATCTTTGGGTATCTCAATTTGTAGAAGTAGGGTTGCCTGTCGTGATTGATTAGCATTCTCAAAGCGAGTAGTACTCAGGTGGGATGTGTTACTGTTATTAGACTTGTTTGGTTAAGCTTTTTGAAGATGTAAAATCAGGTGATGTCTTGATTTCTAGTGCTTTTTGTATTTCGAGATCAAGAAATGGACCATGATTGCTATGAGCTTCACATAGATAATTACGTTTTCTAACTAATTTAAAGAGATGAGTTTGGAATTCTTGAAAAGGGCTCTGACATCGATCCTTGGAAGTCGAAACAAGTAAATGGAGTTGAGGCTTGTCACTTCTAAGTGAGATTACTTCAGCATTTTCTTTTTATCAGTAAGATTATTTCAGCATTAGAGTATATCAAAGCTCTCTTAAATGATTACTTGACTCAAACTTCACACAATCAATTTCCTAAATTTGTGGCTCATTCTTCTAGGTAGGAGTAGGTCTTTGTACCAATATTTAATCTCTCGGATTTATGCTTATTTTTCTGTCATGGCATTGGAACTGTGATTTCTCCCACATTCTGAAACATTTGCATCTGCTCCCTAATTGCAGCAAGTTCGACTAACGCTTACGCTAAAACATTTGATGGTATTGATGGAGCAGGAAGACGACTAGCCGATGAAGTGAGTTCTCATTCTTCTCCCATTAGTGTTGTTTTTTTAATTCATTTTCTTTGTGCTTGCTTACCTTCAGTTCTCCCTGCTATACCTAATGTTTCGCTCGCTAGATGCAACATGGATGACATTATGGCTGCTAGTTACATACCCATGCAACAGTCCCACACTGAAATGTGCATCACCCGCCCACATGCACACACACATACACTAGAGAGAGAGAGAGAGAGAGAGAGAGACAGAGAAGATCTAACATCCTCATAATTTGAGAGTGCTCTAGTTTTTCCCGAGAGTGCTTATACTCTCTATTCCTCTATGCTTTGTGGTCCAGGTTAAGATAATAATGCTCCTAAATCATTCTTTCAGTTATTTTACTTTATCTTGGGAAAGTACCATAAACATGTCTCACTTTTGACCTAATGATCAATTACATACCTCTACATTTGCCAATACCATTCACATACCTCTAAATAAAATTCTGCATTAAAAAGACCAAATTACCCCTCGTTGCAAACTTATCTTAACATCTTGAATTTTTTTTTTTTTTTTTTTTTTTTTTTTTTTTTTTTTTTTTTTTTTTTTTTTTTTTTTTTTTTTTTTTTTTTTTTTTTTTTTATATAAATTTTTTTTTTAATAAAAAAAAAAAAAAAAAAAAAAAATAGGGGGGGGGGGGGGGGGGTGTATAAAAAAAAAATTAGTTATTTTTTTTTTATTTTTAAAAAAAGGGGGGGTTGGTGAGTTTTGGGGGGGGGGGGGGGGGGGTTTTTTTTAAAAATTTCCTTTTTTTTTTAAATGTGGGGGGGGGGGGGGGGGGGTGGGGGGGGGGGGGGGGGGGGGGGGGGTGTTCAATTGGCTGACAGTGAAAAGCAATTCTTCTTTCATAATTATGGTTAGTACTGATGCAGCATCTGTTTTAGACAATGTAGTGGTAATGAGTTAGCCTTACAATATGATGAGGTCCAGCATGTTCTTTTTTGTCCTTTCTGGCTACAATGGCTTCTAATTGATGTATCTGCCGTGATATGGAGATGTTACATTACAATGTGTTTATTAGCCTGTTGTTTAGGTAAAAAGCAATAAGGGGTTTAAACACAAGAAGTGGAACCTTCTGTTTAAAGTTTGTGTAGCCTATGGGTCTACGCTGAGTTAACCCAAACACATTGTGTACTAACAATCTGATTTAAAGTAGGTCACGCAAGTAGTTCAAAAGACAGACGGTCTGAAGAAGATATCCTTTTTAGCTCATTCCCTTGGTGGATTGTTTGCAAGATATGCTGTAGCTGTGCTATACTCTGCAAGTGCTTCGCTTACAGACCAATCAGAGGATTATAGTTCTACATCTTCAAATTTGGAGAAATCCTCATCCAAGCAAGGTTTGATTGCTGGATTGGAACCAATCAATTTCATCACTTTGGCGACTCCTCATCTGGGGGTGAGAGGGAGGAGACAGGTCAGTTCTAAAGTTTGATGGTCGATTGTTTAGTCGTTTTTCTTTATATGTCATTCTTATTCTTTTTCATCTTCAAAAACAAAATGGTGGGAAAAATATGGCATTTGAATTTTGCCCCTTTTGTACTTGGACACCTAAATTTACAACGTGAGCCAAAATCTGTATTCTTTTGATAGACCTTTTAACCTCGTATCAATTTGGTGGTTATTACGTAAATTGATCGCTTTGACTTTTTCGATGATTGTTTCATCTCTTCTAGTCATTTAAAAATTATTTTGCAAGTTCAACGCCGCACTTACTCACTGAAGTATTTTTATGTGTTTACGATCCTCTGCTTTGTTTCTTTGCTCATCACTCTTCCTTGAGTCTCATTTCTATTCAGCCACCTCCAGAGTGTCCACTACAGTTTGAAATTAATCCTTTACACTGTACACGTGTAAGTACTCTGTGACTTGCACATTTGCATTTCCTTCCTTTAGAATTTGTTCTGAAAAATCTTATCCTGAACCTAAACCAAATACGAATGAGCTTAAGACAAGACTGAACAGATAACAGACTGGGTTGGTATCAAACCACGAAATGTTGAGCACACAGACATAAGAAGTTCAACTTTAACATCAGATTATGCATCCTTTGATATCAAGAAAGAAACTACTGGAAAGAATAATCTCTCCATAACCATAACGAATAAGAAATGACAAGATTTAGGGGTATTTTCAGATTGGTTATGTTTGATTTAGAGTGTTTTAACTCCACAGCAAACCAGACCAAACTTGTCTAAATGAAAAATTTTCAAACCAAAACCAAATCGAATCATCATAACGGTTGAAGTCTTTTCCCAGACCATTACATTGATTTATTAGGTTTATCTTGAAGAAGTCGCAACGAATCTGACCAGGAGTATGCTAAGATTAAATGGTTCAGAATGCAATATTACCCACACCCACCCTTCATAATCTTTATCAGGTGGGGAAGATGTGACGATTGAGTGTCTAAACCTGCAAATGTTCATCAATCTAGGCTTGACAATCTACCTGTTCTTACGTGAATGTCCAGATTAAACTAGTGAGATATGTTGAGATATGTTCATTAAATGCACCTTATTTTATTTACATTTTTTACTAGATATTTCCTCCCTAATATGTGCTTTCTTGTTATACGGCTATCAAGTAGGATATATTAGAAGAATGTGCTACTTAATGTCGAAGGATTAGTGTTCTAGAAGTATGAACTTCTTTCATGATGATTTAACTTTGTGGGATGAAAACTTACATGTGTCCATGGGATGTGTCTACGCTCTTCCAGGGTCTCTCACTTCCTTAGAGCTTCTTGCCGCTTGTTAATTTAGATGTTGAACATGCTCAGGTGAAAATGATATAACTCCTTTTGTTGTCTTGATAAGCTAGATCTCCAATTCATGCCTTAATTTTGAATTTTTCAGCTTCCTTTCCTCCTAGGAGTCCGCTTCTTGGAAAAACTTGCTGCACCAATGGCTCCATTTGTAGCTGGCCGAACTGGAGCCCAATTATTCCTAACAGATGGCAAACCTAATAAACCTCCTCTTCTATTGAGAATGGCGTCTGATTGTGAAGATGGAAAATTTCTGTGAGTGAAGAATGCTTAAAATTAGCATAGATCAATCAATTTATCCTTACAGTATTACTGATGATTGACTTGTAATGGTGTACGGCTTTGCAGATCTGCTCTTGGTGCATTTAGATGTCGAATTCTTTACGCTAATGTCTCGTACGACCGTATCCTCTGCTTTCAATGATTATGGTGTTTTTGTATTTGATTTTTGGCTCCTTGGTTCTTCCTTTCTCCTCCAAGTGAATTTCTTAGCATACGCAGACATGGTGGGCTGGCGCACATCCTCTATAAGGAGGGAAAAAGAACTTGTAAAGGTGAGCAACATGATCCTATATATTGCAGCATTAAATGCACCCAACCATTATAGAGAAAAAATTTGGACGAGTTTTAAGTTTGATGTGCTTGTGACTTGTATATACGTTATTCACCGACTCCGGATATCTCTGTCACTTCCTCAGTAGCTGGGGCTTGACTATGAGCTGTAGTATTTTTTATTACTTCTTTCTAGTCTTTTTTTGACTTGACTGCTTTTTGTTTGATCCTTTTAAGGGAGAAAATCCCCAAAAAGTGAGTCAGGGTGCTGGGGTGGTGTCTCTCTTTATAACGTGGATATAGAGATGAAGTAACTTTTGCCTCAAAAGAGTACAAAACCACTACAAGTATAATTAGAGTACTCATAATGCTTTCCTTTTCTAAGTGGGTGGAACAGTTGTGTTTTCAAGATGATATTATCTGAGCATTATGATAAGTGAAAAATATCTATACCAGAAAAACATTGTGTTAATATGCGACTACTCTATTCTTGTAGCCTCCTCGTCGTTCTTTGGATGGCTACAAACATGTAGTAGATGTTGAGTATTGTCCACCCATATCCTCAGACGGCCCACATTTTCCTCGAGAAGCTGCAAGAGCCAAGGAGGCAGCACAGAATGAACCTAGCATAAAAAATACGGTCAAGTACCATGAAATCATGGAAGGTAACAATCTACTTCAGTTGAAACCGATGTTCTCCATCAGCGTTCATTAGAATCTGCGTTCAACACTGTGTACCAGTGGAGTCACAGTTTTCAAATAATTGCAGAGGAAATGATACAAGGCTTACAACAGTTGGGATGGAAAAAAGTCGATGTCAGTTTTCACTCGGCATTCTGGCCCTTCCTGGCCCATAATAACATGCATGTAATCTTCTCTAGTTACCTACTCTTACTGCTAGTGATTTTCTCCTACGACTGGACTCTTGATATGATTTTGGTAATGGGCAGGTGAAATATGAATGGCTTCATAATGCTGGTGCTGGAGTGGTTGCTCATGTTGCTGACAGCCTAAAACAGCAAGAGTCCTCCACAATAATAGCTGCAAGCTTATAGCATTTTTAATGTCTCCGTGTACATTAATATCGTGAATAAATGGTAAATACTTTTGGTCCACTGTGCTGGTGCTTTAGTTTGCCATTCGTAAAGTTCCCCTTTTCCTATTTGTGACTGCGCTTGTGACTGCAATCCTTGCCGGCAACGGCACTCCTTAGATGTACCTTCGGGCGTTTGTCATCAAAAACAAAATGTAGAAAATTTCTTTCAGTGGTAGATCCGAGGTTTACATGAAACTTGGATGATGTTATTTCTCGCTCGTCTTGAGCATGCATCTTTTGAAATTCGCACAGCCTCTCCGAAGGTAACTTCCTCATGGTAACTTGGTATCCGTCGATTACCGGCATTTAGTTCAAGAAACGGCCCTGTTTATGCCTAACATCTAGAGCTGCTTTCACATATACTGTTTTTGCTCTGTACCTGGATACGCTGACCTTGTCCCACAAGTGGTCACGCTAGGCAACATTATTCTGATGCCCCATCTCTTTCAGCCTTGTCTTTTCATTTTTGGAAGCCATTTTGAGGGAATATCGCTGTGATACACCTCATTCGACGCTCATAATGAAGCCGTCGATGGCGCGCAAAGTTTCTTAGCGAAATGAATGTCAACCGGTTGTGCAAATCTGGCTTGGAAAAGGAAGAAAAGAGGAGAGTTTGTCTGCCCAATTTGACCCATGAACTGTTTGTCCAAAGAATCCCTTGTATGATTAGATAGCTTCATTCTAATTACTTCAAATTGACAATGCAATCTTCACAAGCGCCGTGGAAGAACATAAGATGAGAAAATTGTCTAAAAAGTCCTAAACTTATTGCATTTTGGCCAATTTAGTCATAAATTTTTCAATTTTGCCAATTGAGTGTTTAACCTTCTTATGTTTTGTTAATTGAGTCTATTCTGCTAATTTTAGTCGGAAATCATTAACGTGGACGCCGACCGTCCTATATGGCACAACGGACGATGAAGTGTACAAATTTTATAATTGTTTTTCAAAATTCTGAATTTTTTTATTTTTTTCTTTCTTTCTTTCTTTTCTTTTTTTTCCTTCAAAACTTGGTAAGGGTCGGCTGGCCCTCGCCTGTGACTAGCGAGGGTCGATCAAATTTGTCAGGAAAAAAAAAGGAAAAGAAAGAAAGAAAAATAAAAATATAAAGAAATAAAAAATTATAAATTATAAATAAAGAAAAGAAAAATATCAACAATTTTATTTATTTTTTTAAATTATAAAAAACTATCTATGTCAGCGCCGGTCATCTTACATGACACTACTGGTGTCCATATCATTGATTTCCGTTTAAAATTAGCCGGATGATCTCAATTGACAAAACTTAAAAAGTTTTAGGACTCTATTGATAAAATTAAAAGATTTATGAATGAACTGATCAAAATATACTAGATCTAAGATTTTTTGGACGGTTTTTCCAACGTAAGATACAAGGGGCAGATGATGGCGAATCCATCTTTTTAATGGTTGCTTAAGCACAATTTCTCAGATGGGGAATACGATGATGTGGTCTGTCTACTCTTCTTTTGGTATAAAAAAAGTATATTTTCTGGGGCATCTTCTGTAAAGGGTTTGACGACACCATAAGTACTTGGAAAATAAAACAAATGAAAGGACCACTTTTCAAAAGTTGTAGGCCACCTAAATAAATGGTCAGCCCCTAAAAAATTCTTGTCACTTTGATTAGGAATCCACATACAGGTAGAGACTTATACACATTTTTGTAACTTAGATGATTACTGTTATTATTATATTGGTTGTTGTCATAATCATTGTTAAGACTGGAAAATTTGCATTACATATGTCCCATACATTCCAAGGTATGCTTTGAAAGTGTGTCCATGACATTGCACTGGTGCCATTGTCTGGAATTTTCAGTCGACTTCATCGTACTAGGTGATTTTAATCAGTGTCATCCATGTAATTTTCTTTTACGGCTCGGTGAACGCGATTTCATGTTCGCCTTAATGGTTGTGCTTCATAATGTCGGGTCCATACATTGATATGCCCGATTTTGTGAAATAGCTACTAGAAAATGTGGATAGAACCGTTATCTTCATAATCTCCATCCCCTAGCTTAATTTACTAGAGATGGCAATAGGTCGGCCACTACCATGATCGTCGCTGGTGTTGCGGTGATCAATGCTACGAAAATCAAAGGGATCAAGGCCAACAGAAAACAAAGAAAGAGGCTAAGGAATCGCGGTGGTGGTGGTGGCTCGGGGAGATTAAGGCATCGTGGTTGTGTTATTTGGGGAGTGCAACCACCGCAAATGGTTGCTCGAAAATGGGATTGCGAGCGGTCTCAAATTTATAGGTTTGGGACCGTGACAAAGAGAGGGGAAAGGGGGATCCCAGGCAACCTCGATATAGTCGCTTGAGAGCCGCAACCACCGAAAAGGGGGTTGCCTACGAGTGGCGACCATCAGGTGGTGGTGATGTTGCGCCGTCATGGGCGTTGATAGCCAAAATTTGCTAAAAAGTATTAACAAAGATAATAATTTAAATTTGGATACTCATTATATTTTTATGGACAAATATTTAATTTGCCCATACTTCATTTACTATTCTCATAATTCAATTCTTTTAAATAAAATCGATGAATATATTAACGGCACTTGTTTTTTTAATCATTTTCGGAAATTATATTGTTCAGTGATATTCATCAAAATTCGAGCAATTGTTTCTTTTTTAATAGTATACCATTATTAGTATTTCTGTGAATTGCTTCTCTCCCAATTTCCATACTTTTTGATTTGTCTACAGCAATTAAAATAAAACAAAGAAGAGCCATTTCCCACACAACTTATGTGCATTGCAAATACTAACAAATTATAATCATCATTATATTCATATGCTTATTTGAGTAAATGACTGCACCTCCAACTTTTTTTTGAAATTTTTCCTTTTTTGGGGTACTTTTTACCGGTTAGTCCCATGGAAAGACTTTACTGTAAAATTAAAAAGAGGACTGACCCAAAAAGGTTTCCCCAGATATAAAAAGAAAGAAAGAAAAAGGAAAAGAAAAGTGAAAAGTGAAAAGCTTGGGGTCAAGACAAAATGGACAGCAGCAGCAATCAAAGACATTACAGAAACCAGGAAAAAAGAAAAAAAAAAAGCCCCTTGAAATTGGAGAGCTCTCTCTCTCTCAAAACCACGCGCTCAACTGCTGCGTGTACCGCACGCGCCGTCGCCTCGGCGAAACCGGAGGAGATCGGTCGGCCAGAAGACCGGCGTGGTGCCACGCGCGGCAGTCCGCGCGTGGGGAGGAACACGATTCCCCCGCTTCCGCCCCTAGAGAGAGACCAACCCGCACCCACGCACGCTCGTCCCCCGCGTCTTCCACCTTCCTTCCTCCCTCCCTCCTTCCTCACCAGCCAGTCGTCTCGCGACAAGAAGACGCGGACCCATCTGGAGGGTTAGAGAGAGACAGACATCGTTGCTTACTTCTCAGTGAGGTTCCACAGAGAGAGAGAGAGAGCGAAGCTTGGAGGAAATGGCGTCGACCAAGGAGAGAGACGGCTACGTCTACGTCGCCAAGCTAGCGGAGCAAGCCGAGCGCTACGACGGTTCGTCTTCCCCCCCTTTCCCTCTGGATCGATCTTTCTTGGGTCTCTTGCGGTTCTTGACGTCTAAACTCCATCTGGGTCTTCGCTGCGCTTGTCAAATTTGGATCTTTGAGTGTCTGGGGTAACTCTGCATCTGATCCTCAGTGTTGTTCTCGACTTGGGTATCTTTGTTTTTCTTCCTTTTTTTCTGATGTGTGGGATTCGGAAGGGTGAGCGAGGAGGGGGTCGACCGTGTTGGGATTTTTCTGAGTCGGGACATGTGGGGGGTTTTGGTGCTTCTTCATCTGGGTTTTGCCCCGCGTGTGTGTGAGAGATTGATTGGGGAGATTTCTTGGCCGTTTTTGAATGTGGCAGAGATGGTGGAGGCGATGAAGAGTGTGGCGAAGCTGGATGTCGAGCTGACGGTGGAAGAGAGGAACCTGCTGTCCGTCGGTTACAAGAACGTGATCGGCGCGCGGAGAGCGTCGTGGAGGATCCTCTCTTCCATCGAGCAGAAGGAGGACTCGAAGGGGAACGAGCATAATGTGAGGAAGATCAAGGAGTACAGGCAGAAGGTCGAGGCCGAGCTGTCGAATATCTGTGGGGACGTGATGAAGGTGATCGATGAGCATTTGATTCCTTCGTGTGCTGGCGGAGAATCGACCGTGTTTTTTTATAAAATGTGAGCGGCTTTTTTTAGATTGGATGTTTCGGATTTTTGTGTTGCTTATTGCGGTTGTTGAGGATTTGAGGAGTTTGAGGGCGTGATATCTTGCAGGAAAGGAGATTACTATCGGTATTTGGCAGAGTTTAAGGCTGGTGATGACAGGAAGGAGGCAGCTGATCAGTCTATGAAAGCATATGAGGTGCTCTTCTTATCATAATAATTGCTTTAGAAATTGTAAAAAATTTGTTGTGTTTGGTTTAGTTGAATGAGTACGTAGATGTGGGTAATAGGTATAGATGACTGAACTATATCTAAAATGAGAGCAAAAAGATCCTCAAGTGTAATCTAGTTGCATGAGCTTGGCCCCTTATCCGTCTTCCTGTGGTTTAGTTACGGCAGCTTTATTGATAAAAGAAGGGATTGCGATACCATTCACTGAGGGTAGATTCACAATGCTTTGAATCTTCTTGCAGATTCTATTTCTAGCATTGGGAAAAGGTATAATCTGATGTTATCCTCCTCTTGAAATTGATATACTTCACATTAATGATGGAAGTATTTATAGTTAATTATTGCAGTTAGAGTCTTTTGGGACTAACGCTTTGCTTGCTTCCTGTGTCATTGTGTTTCTGGTAATGTTTCATTAAGTGTAAGTCAAAATAGAGAAATGTGAGAATGTCAATTAGAAGTGATAGTTCTATACTTGTTGTCGTTTAGTTTAGAATAATGACCACATCTTGTGAGGAAAAAGCATCTTTTGGAAAAAAATCCAAGTGTTAAATAACTGAAAAACATCACCTTGGCAAGAAAAGGTCCTCATGAAGGCTTGCCAAACTAATGTTTTTCTTGAAAAATATAGAAGTACGGTCTTTGTATATTTCCAACAGGTCTTTTGGATTCTGGAGTTTGTATGTTGTCTGTCTGTACTCCTCTTAAAGTTTTAGTTTTCCTTTGATCGGGAGTCTGTACTTCTAGTATTGGTTGATTTCCATCTTTCTTGTTTAATGAGTCTGAGCTGCCATGATGCCTTTATTTGTACAGATGGCTTCCACCACAGCAGAGGCTGAACTATCCCCAACACATCCAATCAGATTGGGTTTGGCATTGAACTTTTCTGTCTTCTACTATGAGATCATGAACTCTCCTGAAAGGTATGTGCTGCATTGCTCGTCAATTTCTTTTCGAGCAACCAACATGAGCCTATCTAATGGGATAACTTGTTCGCCAGGGCCTGTCACCTTGCAAAGCAGGCTTTTGATGAAGCGATCTCAGAGTTGGATACTTTGAGTGAGGAATCCTACAAAGACAGCACATTAATTATGCAACTTCTAAGGGATAATCTGACATTATGGACTTCTGACATCCCTGAGGATGGAGGTAAATCAGCTATATCTGCAATTCTAGAATGTCTGTAGATTCTGATTTTTTTTATAGCTTTTATGCAGTTTAACTTTATCATATGCAACCAAATCATTATTTTTTTTCTAATATGTCTTTTGATGGAAATTTTTTTCTAGTTTTACCACTTTGTACCATAGGCTCAAAGTGGTCCGACACTTCCCTGGACCCCGTGCATTGGCAAAGCGTTGTGTACTGGGCTGCCCTTTTTTTACTTGTGTGGTGACCAGAAAATTTTCTGTTTCCTTATTTAGGGCTTTAGCGTAGCAGTTTATCCTGAAAAGCCCCATCTAAAATGTCTCTTTGAAGTCTCCTCTTCCCCCTTCTTTTAAGCTTGTGGTTTGGTGTCTCTATTAGTCCATGCTGCCACTAGGTTTCTTACCTCCTTATCTGCTAAGCGTTCAGTTAAGAAGTTCAAATATTTCTGAAGTCGATAAGAACTTTATATCATTCTAATTTGACATTCTGCTAGATTAAATCTTATCCATCCTTCGATATGGTATGGCAGCAAGCTAGACTATCCATAAGCATCTGAGGTTCTTACTCTGAGGACTATTTAGTTTTCTGAATTTCCTAAGCTTCTCTATGTCATTTACTTTAATTTTCTAATTACATAGCAAAGAACATGTATAAGTAAGTGAAAGGAGTCCATTCTATGGCATGAACTTTCTATGTTCATGTGCGTCAAATCATTACTCGGAATGTCTCCTCTTCCAATCTGTCATATGATTATGATCTGTCCACTATATATGTAATGTTCAACAAGCATTTGGTGTTGTATGCATGGATTGATTGTTGAATTGATATTTCAACTTGACCTCATTGAGGGGGATAAGTCCTTGGTATTGTTTGTGTGGTCGTTTAGTATTCTCGTTAAAGTGGGTTAGTATCACACTTCTGGGTAGTATGGGTACTTGGCTCTTTTGCTTTTGTCTAATTAAACTATGAAGCATGGTCCTTTGCTGTCAAAGCTTGATCCTAGTAGTAGGATTTGAATACAGAGGTATGATTGCAAAAAAGGTGGCCACATGCCTACCACACAGTCTTCCTTTTGTTGATATAGGTTTTAAAGTTGTAAATGGTGGTTGGAGATCTGGATTCAGCTATTCTTAACTAAACACAGGAAATTTGAGTAGCATTTTATATTTGCCATACATCTTGAGTATAAAAAAAAGTATACATAGGCTGTGTTAGATGCATGTCATCTGTTATGTCGGATTCACAATGTTGTTGGAGATGACACATGTCGATATTCAACACAGTTTCTGTTGATGTTTCTTTAACGCAAGTTGTATACCAAGTGAAAGACCATTTGAGTATACACTTCTGTCAAAACTGCATCGCACTATGTCCCATTTTAAAAGCTGTCGTGATGGCTGGTACACACGGAATGTGTTGGTTGCTATGTTTTGGAGTGATAACATCAAATAAATGTCGCATGGTGAATAGTGTGTTTGTCTTATGACCATCCCTCCTGCCAGGGATTTCCATTCTTTGAAGGTTTATAGAGCTCTTTTAGTTGCTCCCTGATTTTATGATGATAATATTCTCATCCTCCGATCTCTGAAAGGGTTAATGCCCTTTTCTACATATATGAAGTTACTTGGAATCCAATTGAGTAATGAGCATGCACTGTTGTTTACATTGTTGCCTTCAATGATACAGCTGAAGACGCCCAGAAGCTTGACAATGCTGCCAAAGCTGCTGGGGGTGAAGATGCAGAGGTGGTTAATTTGCTTATTTAGATAGGGGGTAAATTTATAGGATAAACCTCTTATATTTTGACCTCTGGTTTGTGCATTGCAGTGAGGCAGAGTGTTGCTTGGGAGCTCATAAAGGGAGTCAAATGGTTTGAGGGTGGTGTTTCCTTGTCTGGAGGCATATTGAGAGACTTTTTTCTTTTTTTATTTCCTATACTTTTTTTTTGCTCCATCGACCTCTTTCGCTTGGATATTGCTACTAGCTAATTGTTTGGTGCTTGTTCTGTGCTCCCATCGTTCACGACTGCTCATTAAACCCGATCGAATTATGTCAAGGACGGTCTGCTGTACGATCTAAGTCTGTTTAATTGAGAATGTAGCGTTATTAGATGACTAAATCTCAACGGTTGCACACTTGGATGTTTGTCTTCTCTTCTAATGTCGTGGCCAACTTGCAGATCTATTTGGGGCTGTGATCCCATGTACTTCCCAGATTACCTATAGCCCTCGAGGGTAAGAAACCAGAATCAAATCTGATCTATGTTCTAGTTGACAATGTTGGAATCGACGCAAAATCTCTGTTCGAAGATGATGATTATCTGCTTCCCTAACTCCGCCAATGGTCTTTCATCTTGAAGCAATTCCTCAGGTATCGGAGTTTGCAGATTTAACAAGAGAACACTCCGACAACCCGTTCTCTATAACCTCGTATGATCAGATGACTCTCGCGTATCTCTGAACTGGATAATACCATCCAGTTTTTCATGCTTGTACCGGTGCAATTTCCTCTGTTTGGTCACCGACTCCAATAGTCACTCGCTGTTCCAAGCCATCTGTTTAGGATGCCGGCCGCCTCGACCACGATTTGCCTGCTAACAGAAGCCTAGAAATGACTGATACCGTTTAGCCCGACTCTCGTGGCTACCTCTACTTGCTTGTAAGTTGTTACCATCTTTTCATAGATTCCATCCTCTCTAAGATCAACCAAATGGTCATAAAGTGCCCTCTTGACGAGAGAGAGAGAGAGAGAGAGAGAGAGAGAGAGAGAAGCGGGTCAAAAGGATTTTCCAAACCACAGGAGGAGAAGGCAATGACCACCCCACAAAAATAACTGCAACTAGGACGTAACAAAACCTTCCCAAAAATAAACTGCTTGACTTGGCTTTATAACAAAAAAATTTAAGCCCTTAATTCTTCCTCAGGCCAGCCCTCCTCTCCATACACAACCTCCCATCTAAAAGTCCAGAAAAATCCAACCAGCAGAAACGCATCAGACAGGAGCAATGGCAAAGTCTCTCAAGGCTATCATCTTCTTGGCCTCGGCCCTTTCCTTCTTGTCCCTTCTCGGGGCCGTGTACGGCGACTCCCGCTTCTTCGTGGAGGGCAAGGTTTACTGCGACACCTGCCGCGCCCAGTTCATAACCAAAGTCAGCCATGACATGCCAGGTTCGCATTTCCTTCATTGTACTGCAAAAACGACATGATCTAATCTTAGTTCCAATACTAAAGATACGGTACCAGACTAGACAATTTCTTGTTTATGAGCATAAAAAAGAGATCCTCAATTACTAGAAAAAAGAAAAAAAAAAAAGAGCGACATTGTAATGCAAATAGCTCTCTCAAAGTTCATAATTTCCGGATATTTGGCTTTTTCGTCACGACAAAGATTTTGATCGATCCGAAAGATTTTGTAGTACGTGCACATATAGCTTTCATTTCAAGCTCTGTAGAATTCTCATTAGTTGATCAAAGCACAATGCCCTTGTGCACGATCCGTTCAATGACTTCCGCAAACAATGCGAAATCCGTGCAGGTGCCAGGGTGCGCCTGGAGTGCAGGGACCGCGAAGGCGGAGACCTGACCTACAGCATCGAGGGCGTGACCGACAACACCGGCACCTACCGCCTTCCGGTGGACGGAGAGCACGAGGAGGAGATCTGCGAGATCGTGCTCGTCAAGAGCAGCCAGCCCGGGTGCGAGGAAGTCAGCACCGCCGATTTCCTGAGGAAGAGCGCGAGGGTAAGCCTCACCAAGAACAACGGCATGACCACCCCGGTCCGCCAGGCCAACCCGCTCGGGTACATGAAGAAGGAGCCGCTTCCCGAGTGCGCCGATGTCCTCAAGGAGCTTGGAATCACCTCATTCGGCCTCGCCTAAACCTCGAATCTTAGTGTTTTTTTTTTTTTCCTTTTCCATTTCGCAATGTAATGTCCTTAATCTCTGTTGTCATGCAAGAGGTAAACAAACACGAGTACTAGTATGTTACCCAATATGAAAGTTTTTGCTTGCCATTCAAGTTGATTTAGGTTTCGGGTTATGGTGAAGTGGGCAAGCATTTCCTTGGTTAAATGGTTTATGTACGTAGTTTGCATGCTGTGTTATTGATCAAATGATGAAGCTGCAACTAAATCATATGGAAGGATAAACAAAAAAAAGTGATTATTCCACTTGGATCCGGGTTGATCTTACAATAATGTTCTGGCTTCGGAACGTATACAAATCTATCACCAAAACCATAGCGCAAAGAAGATATATCGCCAATCCATTGGAATTATAGCGATCCGATCCGATCCATGTCTCATTTCATGTGGACTAATTACACAAAAAGTCATAAATCTATTGTATTTGTGCCAATTCAGTCTTAAATTTTTTGACGATTTGCCAATATAGTTGTTTCGGCCAATCTTGGTCGAAGATCGCTGACATAGACACTGGCAGTCCTACATGGCACGAGCAACGCTAATGTGGACAACCTTTTCATTTTTTTTAAATTTTCTGAATTATTTATTTGCTTATTTTTTTGTTTTTCTTTTTCACGATAGCGAGCTCCGGTTCGGCCCTTGCCCAGTGGTCGACAAGCCTTGGCAACCCCACTGGCCATATTGAAAAAAAAGAAAAGGAAAAATAAAAGAATAAACAAATAAATCAAAAAAATCTTGAAATTTTTTTTAAAAAATTGTCCACATCACGTCGATCGTGCCATCTACACTTAGGACAGCCGGTATCCACTTCAGTGATCTCCGGGCAAAATTGACTGGAATGACTACATTGGCAAAGTTTCACAGCGAAATTGATAAAATTAAAAGGTTTATGACTGGATTGGTACAAGTGCAACTTTCTGGATAATTTCTACCTCAAATCAACTCTGTCATAATTTATTTAACTAATACAGCAACAAAAGCTTGCCGAGACCACAGAAAAAGAATTATATGGTATGTTGTTATTCGGACATCAAGGGACTTCTTTGCAAAAAAGTGAGTTGGACTTTGGAACGCAGTTTGTCGATAAGATTTTCATACTTTGGAAACCCTAAATCGACCCCAACAGTTTGTCCATACCATATGTATACTCTGGACCTTAACATGCGCCTAAAAGGCTACATCCGGATCACGAGGTGTAAAAATGAAGTTGGGAATTGCCGGGGTCGGGGATAGAAAAAAAATTCTGACCCCAACATGGGGGTCGCAGCGTTTGGGTACCGGGACGTTAAACTTTAGAATGCAGTTATGGAGCCCGCTTGGTCACGGGACAGGCCGAGACGGCCCGCGGTGGCGATGTACTCTGGACTGATCTTCAGCCTCTCGCAATGTGTTGATTGCAGAGAGAGAGAGTGAGAGAACCGCCCTGAGAGGTGACGACTGTCATCCCTATGATCTGATCTCGTCTTCAAGCAGGAGACTTGATATCTATCTCTACTTGAAGAGCTACTGAACTTGCTTGGGATGAATGTTGAAGAAAAACCAATCTTGTCATCCCCATTGAGTTTATCCCTTATTTTCTCGGCCGCAGGCAACAATCTCTCCGGTTATAAGCCAACATCCCACGTATCGAACAATTACTTAAACGAGGTTAGTGTCCACGTCAACGAATCTTTCGTGGGCTTAATGGAAGTCTGATCGTTAAGGTTTGGTTTGTTTCACGAAAAATGTTACATTTCTTGAAAATATTTTCTAGAAAAAACGACAATATTTTTTCGGTATTTAGCTGAAATCTGAAAAAGAACGGGAAAATATTTTTTGATATTGGGAAAGGAAAATCTAAATACACATATACTATTTGAGAGCTAGCGACCTGTGCATAGGCAGCCGGGAAATTAGGTATGGGCATCGGGATCCCTGGTCCAACCTCGATGGACCCTGACTTGCACACTTAGGACTCGGGCGTGAGCATGAGCACTTGGGTTCGAGGAAGAGCACCAAAACTAAGAACCCGATACTCGTGCACGACTTTCTGGTGCCGCCCCTGGCCCAAGGCCTGGTGCACAGGACGCGACCCAGGACCGGGTCCACAAAGGCCAAGCGCGTGACGCCGGGTCCGGGCCCGGCCTCGATGGACTAGGGCGCGGGCGCCGGGGAACCGGGCATGGGCATCGGCATTCCGGGCTCGAACGCGTACAATATTCCGACCCAAAAAAAGAAGAAGAAGATACCTAACAACATTTCCTCACATGTCATCGCGTCTCTAATTGCTCCAGCCCGTAATATCCGCAATGACCATGTCTTTCAACGACAGAAGCGTATTCTCCTAAACTCCGCCGACTATTCCTAGCGAGCGTGATCAAGCTGGCCAAATCCGCGATCCTTTTCAACACGGAACAGAGACCAACTTTTGACTTCCCCGGCCAGTCGTAGCATTTTACGATAAAACAAAAACAAACCCTCACATTACACTAGCGCGCGAGAACACGCGGCACTATATAACCAAAAAAAAAAGAGCAGCGGGCCCCGGAGGCCGTCCTCTCCTATCTATCTATCCTACATTATCTCCTTGATCGAGAGAGGAAAAAAAGCCTAAACCCTCTCCGTCCTCCTCCTCCTCCCTCATTATCAGCAGGCCACACTATTCGGCGCTCACCACCTATGATGTCTATAACACACGCACACACACACGCGAACCAACCGAAAGCGAGCACCCCCGCACACCCCGCACGGGGGGACGGGGACAACATCCATCGAACGACCGATCGACGGTCAAAGTTCGATCCCGGTCGGGCGGGCGCGGCGCGGGACGCCCACAGGGCGAAAACGAAGATGCCGTTTCCAAAACGCAAGGCGAGCCGAGCCGACGACCGAAAGCCGGCCCACCCACCCACGAACGGACGGACGGACGGAAGATCCGACTTGTCCTCACGCGCTCCCTCTCCTCCTCCTCTTTCCCGGCGACTCTCTCTCTCTCTCTCTCTCTCCTCGGCCCCCCCCCCCCCCCCTCCCTCTTTTTTCCCGTATTGCCCCTCTCGACCATTACCCACGCGTCTCGTATTCGTCACCGGCAGCCGCCCTGCCCTTCACACCGACGCGCCCCCCAACCAAAATTCCCCCTTCTCTCTCTCCCTCCCACCTCCCGATCGAACGAAGGAAACCCTAGCTCCGCCGCCGCCGCCGCCGGGAGTGCTCCGGTGACCCGCCGACGCCGACGCCGACGCCGACGACGAGGGACATGGGGGACCTGATTGAGTACGTGTCCCCGTCGCCCACGCAGAGCGGCAACGCGCGGCCCCTGCCGGTGCGGGAGGACTGCTGGAGCGAGGAGGCCACCGCCACCCTCATCGAGGCCTGGGGGCGACGCTACGTGGAGCTCAACCGCGGGAACCTCCGCCAGAAGGACTGGCAGGAGGTGGCCGACGCCGTCAACGCCCTCCACGGCCTCTCCAAGAAGACCCACCGCACCGACGTCCAGTGCAAGAACCGGATCGACACCGTCAAGAAGAAGTACAAGATCGAGAAGGCCAGGATCTCGTCCTCCGGCGGCGGGGGCGGCCTCGCCTCGCCGTGGGTGTTCTACGACCGGCTGGAAGCGCTGATCGGGTCCAGCTCGTCGTCTTCGTCGGCGGGGAAGAAGGCCTCGCCGTCGCCGTCGGTGTCCCCCCTGTCCCCGCCCGTGGCTCTGCCGCTGCCTTACAAGAAGACGCCGTCCCCCGTGGTGGCGGCCGTGGCGCTGCCGCAGAAGAGGCCGGCGGAGAGGCTGGACGAGGGCTACTTCAGGAGGAATTACTCCGAGGTCGCGGCTGCTGCGGCCGCGGCGGGGGTCGACGACGAGGAGGAGGACGAGGAGGAGAGAGACGAGGATAGGGATAGCGAGGAAGACGAAGGAGAGGGGATGAGGAGACTGGCCAAGGCCATCGAGAGGTTCGGAGAGGTGTACCAGAGGGTGGAGGCTGAGAAGCTGAGGCAAATGGTCGACTTGGAGAAGCAGAGGATGCAGTTTGCTAAGGATTTGGAAGTGCAGAGGCTGAAGATGTTTATGGACACGCAGGTCCAGCTCGAGAGGATAAAGCACGTCAAGCGCTCGGGCTCTGATGGTGAGTAAAAAAAAAAAATACGATCTTTTGTGTGCGCGCGCGTGTTATTTAGATGTTGCCGAGAGCAAAATCGTCTGATTAGTCTTGTTTAGCCTGTTTGTTTTTCTTATTGTTGTTTTTTTTTTTATGTTCATTTGCAGTATTAAGGTGACATCAATTGATGGGAAAAAGGAATATATCTTCATTGTGGATCCCTTTGCACAATGAATAATGGATTGTTTTCATTTTCATGTATTTCCACATTCTTACTTGATCCTGGAGATTCGATAATTTCGTGGCCTTTGAGAGTAGATGTCCTCCTTAATTGTTTTAGTGTTCATAAAGGGTTACGGCACATTGTCGTCCAGGTCGTCGTACTATAGTATGTATGTGGAGTGTGAGATGTTCTGTTCGTGGTCAAAGCTCTGTTTATTTAGTTGTACAGATTTCTTGGAAAATAATTTTGATAGTGGGCTCTTTAATCTTCTTTGGTTGCAAGATTTCTTGGTGAAGAAAATTGATGACATCCCCGGATCTTTTATACAGATGCTGAACTTGGCAAATGGCATTTGTTTGCATTAGATATCTTTAGTGGAGGGTTGGAATGAGACTCGGATGTTGGTTAATATTAGAGGCATTTTCATGTGATGCTTGACCTCTTGTTGTGTTAGAGCTGTGACTGAGGATCATGGTTCTAGTTTGGAATGGTGTCTAAGGGAATGGAATAGGACAAGCAATGTTAGATTTCCATGTAGCCAAAAAAATGGTCTTGCATTATGTCCTGAGTGATCTTGTTGGTATCTTTGGATCAGCAATTGCTGTTAACTTGTACAGACTTAAAAGCTGCGTTCAGTTCTTGTTCACTGTTTCTCGAGACAGAGAAATTTGGTGGAAATTAGAAGCGCAGCCAACTATTTTGGGAATTATTAGATTATGTCCAGGTGACAAGTGATAGGAAAGGCTCATAATTTCAGACTACAGATATGACCTCTATCCCTTGTTTGTAGGTGGTTGCCGCATGCAGTTTACACATTTCTGAATTCCATGATAGTTTCTGCATTGTGGGAGGGAGGATTCAATTTGTTCTGGAGAATGGAGTGGGATTAGGGCTGATCTCCATTGTCAGAACATAGTTCTTTTAATGCTTTATTTGTATTCTTGCAGTACATCGAAATTCTTTCTTTCAATGTTGGATTGCAATCTCAGTTTCTTCTCCTTTCCATGTGACACTACTGATTTCTTTACTGCTCTTTCTTCTTATCTACAAAATTGAATCCATGTTTTATTTAGTTAAATGATCATTAGCTAGAGTAGGCTTCCATCCTATATCAATTAAAGTGTCTTATCATTGGCCTGCTGTGGTTATCATTGAAATAACCAGCAGTATTTTCAAAGAGTTAAGATGGAATGTTCTTTTTCCGTCTTTCTTACTTTTGTGATGTGGGTTTCAAGTCTCGTGCTTTGAAGGTTCTGCTATCTGCAACGGTAATGAGAATGGCAGTTTTTGTGGATGGTCTATTAATAAAATTAAAACTTGCGAATTTTTATTTGGTCAGTGCTATATAGCTACCATTTTTCATCTTTCAAGATTATGCACATACTCCTGAAGGATGTCATTCAAGAAAGGTGAATTGACATAGAAGTGTTGTAAAACCAATTACATTACTTTTTTTTTTTCTATGAATTAAATATCATGTTCCTAAATGACTGAGAGAGATATGAAGCCGAAAGAGCTAGATATTTCTCTTTTAAGTTGTTGACTCTTAGATGGAAGATGGAATTTGGGATCTATCCTGTTGTTGAACTGGCAATAAAACTTTTAGGTCTTTACATAAAATCTTTTATGATATTCATAAGTGGAGAAATTTCAGAAGGTACTCCTAAATCTACATGTAATGGAGTGGTCAGCTCTAGGTTGATGCACAGAATTGCTTCAAGTGTAATGTTGGCTAGAGTCTTTAGATAAAACTTTTATGATATGCTTTAAGTGGAGAAATTTCCGAAGGTACTCCTAAATCTACATGTAATGGAGTGGTCAGCTCTAGGTTGATGCATAGAATTGCTTCAAGTGTAATGATGGCTAGAGTCCTCAACCAACAGTATCAGCACATGCTAATGCTGCTAGTTGCCTTTCTCTATGTTAGGCGATAGGTAATTAGTGGCAAGTAGCCTTTAACGACACACCTCAGCATTTGCTGAAACTCAAGAAGCGAAAACGATGAGGAGGAAAACCGACTGGGAAAGGGAGGAACCTGATAGAAGTGACAGCAGATAGAAGATGAAGCACTGAATCTAGGTTGCGTGAAAGTCAATCGAGCAGCTGTCTGTCTTAATCTTCTTTCCATGTATGCTAGGCTTTATCACATTTAGGGCTCTTTCAGCGGCAGTACTTCAAAGATAGATTTGCGTCGTCATGGAACTTCCAATTCTTGTTACATGTCGACATTCATTGTACTATTTGCACAGGGCTCAGTGTAAAAGGTTGCGTCATTTTCTGAAGTTTGTGATGTTCTTCTGATTATATTCAGTTGATGATTGCTTTTTCATAAAGTTTTAGGATGATAAGTAAGGCTAGTTAACTCTAGTAGAGCAGAGGACTGAAAATCATCGCGTCCAATTGTTTCTTGCATGTTGTTAAGTTCGCAAGTATTATGTCCCGCTAATTATTGATGTGTAGGAAGTATGTAGCTCAACAAGACAAGAAATTGTTTTGATACTTTATAGTGAGATGACAAAGTGTTACTGGCCTATGTAGTGCTTAAAAGGTAGAGGTAAAGTAGAAAGATGCTGAGTTGAGGTTTGAGCATTTTAATGGTTTTGAAACATGTTTTGCGCTTCTGCTGATTAGTTTTGCAGATACGTGGTTTTGATGATGGTTCTTTTTTTCCTTTGTGACAGATATTTATAGCTAGCCTTATGGAAGTGATGCTGATCTCGCTGCCCTGTCGCGAGCATAGTTATCGATCCCTGCATTGTACTACTAAGTGCACATGGAAGTCCCGCCGATACCGTCGTCGCAAAGTTATAGGCGGAGAAGATTGTCGGAGTAATTTAAAGTTAATTTTGCAAAACCTAATTATGGCATAGTTTTTCTCGTGCAATTTCTGCCTGCCTGCCTGCCCTAGTAGTTGTACTACCATAACAATGTGAGTCTGTTCTTTTTTCTTTTTCGTTTTTCTTTTAATGTTTTCCTTTTCTTCTTTACTCATTTTTCTTGTTAGTATCGTCTTTAGGAATTGTTGTTAATGAATGATTTAGGTGAGTTCGACTCTTTAATTAATCGAAGTGTAGCTAGTGTTGTAGAAAGTACTGCTTCCGTCGTCATTTACTGTACAAATCTGTCTTTCGCCCGGGCGAAATGGTACTGTGTTGCGAACGAGAGAGGGGTGGCGGTCGCCGGGTTGGTTTTGTGTTTGCTCGGGCCCTTTATTCGGGTGAGTTCGGATCGCCGAGACTCGGAAACCTCTCCTACATTGACATGGATTCTCAGATGCTCTTGCAAGTGAATTGGGAAAAAAAGGGATCCTGGCTGGGGATCAAATCCACCGACGCGGAATGTAGCTGCGCTTCTGTCGACGGTACACAAGTGCCTCCGTTTCGGACAGATGATTCACCGATGTCATCTTCATGCTGATGCATGTGAGATTAAGACTCCAACTATCAAAGCTACTCCGATTGAAGATTTGATGTGTCCACAAAATGCTATGCTCTCTCTAAGAACAATAAGTTGTCCCCGAGCAGGGAAAATTGGCTCGGGAAAATTACCAAAACAATCATAACTCTATTGCAATTGTGTTAATATAGTTCTCAATAATTTTTTTTTTGATAATTTAGTCATAAATTTTTTGTATTTGTGTTAATTTAGTCCATTCAGTCAATTTTGGCAGGCCGGCGCTGACGTGGACGCTAGCCATCCGATTGATGCTGATGTGACAATTTTTATTTTTTTTTAAATTTTTTCGAAATCTTTTATTTTTTTCCTTTTTTTTTTTTGGCTTTCCTTCTTTCCCTGCTAGGGCCGGCCTTGCCGACCCGCTAGTCTGGCGAGGGCGGCGAGCTCGCGCAGCCATGGCGAGGGTGACAACCTTGCCGTTGTAGGCAAGGTCGGCCATGGCGAGGGCGAGCTCACCTTGCCATCACTAAGCGAGGTCATCGCCCTCTCCATGGCCGACCGGCAAGGTCGCCCAGCCATGGCCATATTTGGGTGAGCTCGACAGTGCCGGTGAGGTCGCCCAGCCACGGTGAGGGCGACGACCTCGCCGTCATGGGCGAGGTCAGCCATGGCGAGGGCAAGCTCGACCTCACTAGATCTGGCGAGGTCGAGCCTCGCCATGGCAGTCACCGGCATGAGGGTGAGCTCGCCCAGCCATGGCGAGGGCTTAGCTTGCCTAGAACTAGCCTTGGCGAGGGAGACGACCTCGTTGTCGGGGTCGGCCATGGCCACGGCGAGCTCGACCTCGCTAGATCTGGGCGAGGTCGAGCTTGTCCTCGCCATGGCCGACCTTGCCATGGCCGTAGGCGAGCTCGAGCCTCGCTAGGGCCGACTTCGCCCACGGCCATGGCGAGGCTCGAGCTCGCCAAGATCTGGCGAGGTTGAGCTCGCCTAAATTTGGCCATGGCTGAGCAACCTCACCGGTCGACCATGGAGAGGGCGACGACCTCGCCCAGCGACGGTGAGGTGAGCTTGCCCTCGCCATGGCAGACCTCGCCTACGACGGCAAGGTCGTCGTCCTCGCCATGGCTAGGTGACCTCGCCGTCCTTGCCAGACTAGTGGCCGGTGAGGTACCAAAGAAGGAAAGCCAAAAAAAAAACACAGGAAAAAAAGGGAAAAGAATTAAAAAAAAAATTACCACGTTAGCGCCGGCTGACCAAAATTGGCCGATGGACTGAATTGGCACAAGCATAAAAGGTTTAGGACTGAATTGATACAATTGCAATAAATTTAGGATTATTTTGGTAATCCCCCCTCGCAGCCAAAAGAAGTGATTGTTTCCCTAATTCGTTCTAACTGCCATGTCGGCTCTTGGGACGAGTCCTTCGTCGTGAAATCTGGAAATAGCAACGTTGTTATGGAGTACATACCCCTGACTTGGCCATATCTACCTTGCCTTGTCATCCATGGGGGCTTATACTAGAGGTCATGCCATTGAAAGTGCCTAAACTTTTTTTCGAACATGGTTTAGATTTCGTTTGTTTCGTGAAAAATATTTTTTGAGATAACATTTTTCTTATTTTTCGACATTTGGATTGCTTAGGAAAAAGAGTCAACAAAAAACCTATACTTAAATTCAAAAAAAATGATTTCCTCTTTGAAAAATTGAAAACTATTTTCCAAAATATCACTAAATATCAGTACTTGAACTAGAAATTCTGTGTTTGGGCACGCAACCCCAACACTTGTCCTAGAGCCCTTGGCAGTGGACCTAGGTCTGGAGGCTGGGGCCAGGACCACCGAGATCCATTGAGGCCAAGCCCGGGATTTAAAGAGGTCGGGCTCGGAACCCTAGTGCCTAACCGCGAGTCCATGAGGTTGGGCTTGGGAGAATAATGCCCGTGACCTTGATGCTCGTACCTTGGTGCTTGTGCCCGAGTCTTCGACACCTGCGCCTAGGTCCATCGAGGTCAGGCTTGAAGCTTTGGTTCCTGTGCTTGGTGCTTGGCACCTGGGCTCAGGTCTACAAAGGCCAAATGCAGGACCTCGATAGTTGTGCCCAGTCCCCAGCACTCGGGCCCTAGTCCACGAAGGTCGTGATGAGACTAGTAAATATCATCTAGAGAGGGTGAATAGGTGATTTGAATACTAATTGATCGATTTTAATGCGGAAGTAATTGATCTCAAGTAAAGTCTGAACAATGTTCAGATTTTAGTCAGACTTTGAATGGCAAACAAATAAATGTGCAATAAAAGAGTTTTAGGGAAAAGAGAATATGCACACAGATGTATAGTGATTCGGCTTAGATCAAGCCTACGTTCGCTCTCTCACGCTGACAGCCTACTGGACTTCACTAGATGATTGATCAAGAGATTACAAGTTCTGAGTGATATTCAGATGGATCACTCTATCTCTCTTACAACAAGTCTATCAAGATTACAAATTTTAGCTCAGGAAAGACAAGTAAAAACTAGTCAGAATTTGCTCAGACTTTGGAATGGATGATTCTGGATTTCGTCTCTCTACTGCTGCTCTTCGACAATTTGCCTCATTTTATACTCC